AACGTTACGGCGCGCCGCAAACAACTGCTCTGTGGATCGTCGGGGCCTCAAAAAAACATGACAGCCTCAGTTATCACGTCTGCAGTTCTGCATGAAAAGGGATTTATTATGGATGGCGACTTTCAAGACATGCAGGGTCATGTCAGGACGCAAGTGATTTAAGCTTGTCCTTGGAACCGCACGAATCACTGTTTAGCTGCGGCGCGATCTCGTCTAGCTTCTTAGCCAAGACTGTCCGGAGCCAGGCGCTCAGCCCAGCAAGGATGACATGTGGCGTGGCATGGATGGGTCGACTCGTGACTTCACCATCCTGTTCGCGGCCCTTCACCGTGAGCTGCAGCGCAAAAGCTGCGCTGCAGCTCGCGGCACAAAACGGTTCGAGAGCTTCATCTTGGGCTGCAACACCGACAAGTCGACAGAGGTGATGATACCTTCGCACAACGCCCGTGATCACGTAGTCGTGCCAGTCCCCGCGCAAGTAGACACTTGAGCAAACTATTGAATCTGTGATGGGCATCTCTGCGCGCAAGACCATCGAGAACTTGCTGTTTTCGTTTGGAACTGCAGCAATGTTTCAGTCTGCCGGCAGACGGAGGGCAAGGTTTTCCAAACCGGGTACGTTGGACCAATCTCCGATGGCAGTGCTGCAACGTTCTGCGAGCTGCCAGGGCAATCTGGCACAAGCCGTTGCGAAACTGGCCCAGTAAAAATTTAAGGGAAACATTGCAAACCACATTGCACGCCTGCACGCTGGCGCCCGCCTGTCCTTGGGAACAGAATTCGTCGGCGCGTGAAGGTTGTGCCGAAGAGCCCATAGCCACCTTATTTTTGGTGACAAAAATGTTAACTTGCCGAACGATGACGCCCATGTTTGGCCAAGCGTTACTTCGGAGAAGTTGCTTGCGGTGTCTGCGGACGAACAACTATTTGACTAGCCAAGGGATGCGGTCAGTGTCAACCAGCCTCTTCTCGCCTGGAATATACTGCTTGACAAGAAAAACACACGCTTTCCAAACAGCTAGCGTCAATATGTCGCCCGTGTCACACCCGTGGAAGAGTCGAACGAGCATGCGGTTCAAAGACGAAGCCCGCCGCTTGGCCCTATGCGCCCGCAGGCAGGACAAGCAACGCAACTTTTGCAAGTCGCGTCGAAAGGGGTGATGTTTTATCCCGGATCTGTTTCCAACGATCCTGGGGCCCAGAAATTTCCCCTGAATATTACAAAAATTGCGGGAAGCCGGAAGCGACGAAAACAAACGAATCGACGATTCAAGTTGCATTGCCGTTCCAAGGCAGTGTATTCCCCCTCGTCCTAGTTTCCCTTTCCTTTTGGACGCCCCCGATGCCCGATATTCACCAGCAGCCCTGCGCGGACACGCAAGCCAACACCGACCACCAGCCAGGAGCACATCCCTGTCCCGCTGATTGGCATCGCCTTGTCCCGGTGCTGGTCTTAAAGATTCACCCCTCTGTGCTGGCACATCCTGAATACCCAGACCCCCGACGTCATGATTGTTTCATGACGCGACCCTCAAAAGTCCGGACCCATTCGCCGGGACCGGCTTTCATCCCGAGTCATTTTTTGACGGCCCCGAGGCCCGGTAAGGGCCCCCAGAGGCCGACAATCTAGAAAAACCTTCCGTCGTGATTGTTTCACGACTCGAAGGGGTCTGGGCTCTGTGCTGGCACGTCCTGAATATTGTCATCACGTGGGGCCGGTCAGATCTTATGGATCAAGATTTGAAGCTGGAGCGGCGGCGCGTCGTGGCATCACGGCACCGTCACTATCGTAATATACTCCCGTGTCGCAGCCGCGCCGTCACGCAACAGTGGCGTGCCTCCCGTGTCGCCACACCGACAATTAGACGAGCGCGTTCCACTACTCGCAGAATAACTACTCGCAAATCGCCTGGATCCGCCGCGGGGGATCTACAATGTTTTACGTGGAGGCGGCCATGTGTTTTTTTCGACCGTTTGCGAACTACTGGGTGCTATGCGAGTAGTGAATAGTGAAACCAGTTCGGTGAACAATGGAAACCCATTGGGTTCAGCGGTGCCGCTCTCCAATATCATGGCTGCGCGTGGTGCCAGAAGCACGGGGGATGCGCAGAGCACGCCGCACTGTTTCTTCGAACGCAACCGGTTGGTTCAAGTCGTGGCCAGGAAAATTATGGGGACACTAACGACTTCGGGGCACGCCCGCTTGGGGTCGTGGGCCCGACCTGCAGTAGAGGCCGGTCCGCAAAAAACCTTCCACAAGACACCCAACCCTGAGACCCCAGGACGTCCATTGTTTTTTGGGCGTGGAAACGGCACGCTTCCCATCGCAAAGCGATCGAAACCCAAGACACCCAGGGCACCCTGGAGGCAAGCAGGGTGTTTTTTTGGCATGGGCCACCACCTGAGGAACGCACGGCCTGTTCTTGGGGATGCCAAACGGTACAGATACCGCTACTCCCCGGACCTCTCCCAGGATGCTTTCTGACCAGGATTTCGAAGCGAACCCAGTGGTGGCGACGACGGAGACCCAGGAGGCCCAAAAAGGGGAAAACGAGGGGGGGTAGGAGTATGGGTGCATTTTCCTCCTCTGAGTTCTGGCCACGGCGAGCCTCGGCCACGAGCAGGCCCCACGGTCCCAAGACCTAAAGCACGGCCCAAACGGCTGGGGGCCCTCCCGAGCCCACAGGGAGGTCCGAGTGCGTCGGCGCTTGCTGCACGGGCGAGCTCGGCCGCATCGAGCGCGGGAGCGCGTGCCAGACGGCACGCCGGCCAAGGCATCGACCCAGGCTGCGTGAGAGGGACGAACGAGCAAGACAGCCAGTCACCATATACCCACCCCCTGCGGAATGGCACCTGCACAGGGCACTTGGCCGCAGGACGCTCCACAGAGATGCGCGCGCCTTGAGGGTCACGCGCAGAGAGGTGAGAGAAGAGAGAGAAGAGGATAACTGCGGGTGTCGCCACCGGCCTCGCCTGAGACATCTTCCACAAGCTGGACGCGGCGAGAACCGTGGGCCGTGGCTTTTGCAGCGCGCGGCTCCCCCGAGGTCTGAACCCCTTCCCTGGCCGGGGCCGGCTTCTTACCCCTGGGCCGTCTCTCGGCGGCCCCAGAGCCTGGCAGGTGCCGCCAGAGCCAGCAGCGTTGCCCAAAGCCTCCTTCGTTGCGATTTCCCTTGCAGCGAGTGGGGGTCTGGGGGCTGCCCCCAGCCGCACGTGCTCCGCGGAGCCACGGCCGCACGCGGCTGGAGCGCTTCTGCCGACACGCCCCCGCGCCCGCAGGACCTGGCGTGCCGAGCGGCGGGCCACAGCCTTGCGGCCCCGCCGCGCCCCGCTCGCGCCGCGGAGGCGCCAGAGTTCCTGCCGCGCCTTCCCGTCCCCTCCCTGGCTCCTCGCCGCCGCGCCGCGCGTGGCCTGCCGCGCCTCCCGCCGTGCACACAAAGAAGCAGCAACAAGTATGCGCGCGGACCTCAGGAAAGGTGCGCTTGTGCCGATGCTTGCCCACGGAGCTTGGCACCCTGCCGCAGCTGCCCACCCCTTTCGTGCAGCTCGCGACGGCCCGCCGCCGCTGCCGAGCGTCCCTGACGCCACCGCTCCCAGTGCCCGACATTATGGCGCCCGGTTGCCACTGCCCGCGCGGAATGCTGGCGGTGCTGGGGCTGATAGTGCCTGCGCTGCCTGTCTCGCACGGCGAACTTGTTCGCCACGGCGCCTTCCACATCAGCAGCAGCAACATCACCGCCACCATCACCACCACCACCATCATCATCATCATCATCATCATCATCATCACCACCACCACCATCCTCCCCCTCCTCCTCCTCCTCCTCCTCCTCCTCTCCTCCTCCTCCTCCTCCTCCTCCTCCGCATCATCATCATCATCATCATCATCATCATCATCATCATCATCATCATCATCATCATCATCATCATCATCCTCATCCTCATCCTCATCCTCATCCTCATCCTCATCCTCATCCTCATCCTCATCCTCAGCAGCAGCATCATCAGCATCAGTATCATCAGCATCAGTATCATCATCATCAGCATCACCATCAGCATCATCATCATCAGTATCATCAGCAACATCACCAGCCTCAGCATCAGCATCATCATCGTCATCATCTTATTCATCAACATCATCGTTCAAAAAAAATGTAACGCCATCACCATGATCGTTGTAGTCTTGGTCATCATTATTCACACCACCGTCATCACCATCATCACCAGTACCATCATCATCAGCAGCAGCATAATCATCCTCATAATCCTCCTCCTCATCATCATCCTCATCATCATAAGCATTATCACCATCATCAGCATCGTTATCACCCCCTTCTTCTTCATCAGCATCAGTATCATCACCATCACCATCACCATCGCCATCACCACAAACGTCAGCATCATCAACATCGTCATCAACATCATCAGCATCAGCATCAGCATCACCACCACCACACTCATGATCATCAGCATCATCATAATCATCAAAAGCAGTAGCATCACCATCATCATCAGTCTTATTTCTCGTATTATTACGAATAAAAATATGATTATCATTATTATGAATCGTTTTATGATCACCATCGCCATCGCCGTCAACATCACCATCACAATCATCATCAACATGAATCATCACCATCGTCATCGTCATCGTCATCGCCATCGACATCGCCATCGTCATCGTCATCATTGTCATCATCGTCATCGTCATCATCATCACCACCATCATTTTCAACACCACCACCATTAACGCCACCACAACGACCACCCCGCTGCTGCTCTCTCGTGCAGCTCCTTCCTCCGCCCCCGCTACGTTCCCCCTGCTCGTGGTCCTGCTGCTGCGGCTGCTTACCCTGTGTCCTCTCCTTCTCATTCATGCCCTTTCTGCCCGGCAGGCCATCCTCGGCGCGCCACTTCAGCTCCACCGACGATTGTCCACATTTCCTGCACATCTCCTGGTGCTGCTGCTGCTAGCACCTGGCCGTCCCGATCCCAATTCGTCAAAACAGCCAGACGAGCGCCCCTCGCACACACTCTGCCACACCTAGCCCAGTGTTAGGTCGGGCCTGTCCCCCTACAAGTGGATTTTGGACGAAAAATAAGAATGGTCAGAAAATACCCAACCAATACTCGAAAATCGTCAAACAATCGTCCCCAGATTTGTTTCCCTCTTTTTAAATCTTCCCCCTGTAGAGGGACAGGCCCGACTTAAGCCAAGTGCTTAGCCACCGGCCTGTCTGGCTGGAACCACGCAGGGAGTCGCCCGGGGCAGAGCCTCAGTCCAGCTCGAAGGGAGCGCGTGCCTGGCGTCTGCCCCTCCCTTCTACGAGCTGCGGCGGGCTACAAGCTGAACAGGCACAACAATGTCCCCCCCTACACCGTGGGCCTCTTGTGTATAGATATGGATGTATGTACGAATGCGTATATAAATATAACTATGATCAGTCAGCGTGCCTGCTGCACGAAGTGAGCGTGCTAGAAACGGGGAGACGTAAGACTCGGGTTCGGGGGACTCTGGTTGACCTGATAAGGCCATGAAAATGATGAGACCTGGTCTGACATTCGACGCGAACTCCCACTGCAAACATCCAACGAAAATGGAACCGTCTAAATCCAGGACGCAGTCGTCAGAAAGCGTCGGTGTACCCGGATTGCGGCGCACTTGAGTCTTACGTTTCCCCGATAGAATGCGTGCTGTGCTTTCTGTTTGGGAGGAGTTGTCCCAACGATCCTGTGGTGTTGGGTCCTCGTTTTGAAGCCCCGCGTTCCTCTCTCACTCTTTCTTCCTCCTCCCCCTCCTCCCTCCTCCCATCCCTCTGCCCTCCAAATGTCAAACGAGAACGACACACCCACTACACCGCTTCGTGGCCCCATAACGAGCTCCACCGAAGGCCCCAAGGGCGACGATCGCATGCGGTTCCCCCAAACAATATCCGCCGACCCAGTCGGCGTGTGGAAGACGCTCTTCCGTTTGTCGTCGTCGTCGTCGTCGCCGCCGTCGTTGTTCCCCCCCTTTCCCTGAGGCCTCCTCCTCAAGCGCGCCAGCCAAAGCGAAATTAAGCAACGTCGTAGTTGAGTCGAAGGGAAGCCCCTTCACTTTGATCCCTTGCCCGCAAGGGGGGGAGGTCGCGGGGGAGGGGTCCCAGGGGTGGGGGGTCCGGGTCAGAATGCCATCCCTCCCGGGGTTCTGGCCTCCAACAGAACCCAAGGACGGTCCTAGAGTGCCACGAGAAGCCCCCAAGACGGTCCACGAGAGCCCCGAATCGCCGAACGATCGGTCCAAGGCGCCCAACCAAGATGGCCTCTAGACTGCCCAAGGGCCTCGAAGACGCCCCACGAGGCCTCCAAGAGCAGTCCCTAGAGGGCACCAAGAGGCGATTTTGAAAGATTTTGGCGTTCTCGCCTTTTCCGCTTCACGACCTTCCAAGAAAGCCGAAGAGGCTTCCAAGATCGCCTCAAGACGACCCAAGAGGTATCCAAACGGCCCCACAATGGGGCCCAAGAGGGCCTCAAGTGCTCAAGACGCCTCCAAGAGCACCCAAGAAGCTCCTAAGATTGTTCCAAGAGGGAGCCCAGACGGGGGACCCGAACGGACATTTCGAGCCTTCGGCTCCGAGAGGCTCCCAAGAGGCCCTGAGAAGCCCCAAATAGGCCCCAAGCCCAAGAGGCCCCCAAGATGCCCCTCAGAAGCCCCAAGAGGTCCCCAAGATGCTCCCAAGAGGCCCCCAAGAGACTCCCAAGAGGCCCCTAAACTGTTTCCCAGAAGCTCCCGAGAACGCTCCGAAGAGACCGCCAGAAGCATCCCTGAGGACTCTAACCCACGTCAGCGTCGTCGTCGTCGCCGTCGTCGTCTCACTTCAAGGTCGGGGACTTAAGGCCTTCGCAATAGCGCTTCGTGGCCCAATACTCCATCGAAGTCCCCAGAGGCGACGTTCGCATGCGTCTCCCCCACCCAGTATGGCGTTCCGTGGCCCCATAAGGGGGCTCCACCGAAAGCCCCTGTGGCGACGTTCACATGCGGTGCCCAGCCCGTGTCGTCACATCCCTTACACGTTTCCTGCCCCCATATACCACAATGAGCTCCACCAGAGCTCTAAAGTCGACGCTCGCATGCCGTGTCCACACCTAGTACAGCGCTTCGTGGCCCCGCAGGGTGCTTCACCGAAGGCTCCAAAGGTGACGAGCGGATTACGTCGCCCCATCGGGAGCTCCACCGAAGGCCCCAGAGGCGACGTTCACATGCGTCTCCCGCACACAGCGCAGCGCTTCGTGGCCCCGCAGGAAGCTCCACCGAAGGCCCCAAAGGCGACGTTCGCATGCGGTTTCCCGCCAAGTTCGGCACGACCCTCACGTGCTTCTATAGGGAGCTGGCCGCGGCCGCATTCGTCTCAACGCCCCAAAGGCCGGGGCCGCATGCGTCTCCCCCACCCCGTACAGCGCGTCGTGGCCCCGCAGGAAGCTCCACCCGAACGCTCCAGCGGCCGCGGTCGCAGGCGCCTCCCCCACCAGGTAGTGCTCCGCCGAAGGCCCCAAGGGCCGCGGCCGCATGCGTTTCCCCGACATTTACGGCACACCCAACGCGCGTTTCGTGGCCTCATAAGGAACTCCATCGAGAGCGGTACCCACGACGTGGTACTCAAAGCTGCACATGGTTTGGCCCGTCGCCTGGATCACTAGTGTGTTATATAGCCGATCCCCCCGTTATCGCGCGCATCCTTGCACAACCGCTCGTTGGGGGCTTCTCTTCCAGCGATCGGTCTGGCCTTCAGGAGGCCATCTTGGCCTCCAAAATGGCATTCGATACAGCCAAGATGACACCAAGACAGCTCCAAATGGCCCGAAACACCTCAAGAAGCTCCCATGATGGCCTCCAGCCGGCCTCGAGAAGGCTCGAAGGCTTGCAAGACAACCGCAGAGGGTTTCGAGAGACCGTCCAGGAGAGCACGATGAGGCAAACACCATAAATGTTGCTCAGGCTTGGTTTAAGGATCTTGCGGTTCTCGCCTGTTTGGGCTTCCCGACGTCCAAGATGACCCATGAGGCCATAAACATAGCTCCAAGGCAGCCCATGAAGCTCCCAACGAGGACCCCAAGTCAAACCAAGAGGACCCCAAGATCGGCCAGAGCCTGCCAAGAGGACCCCAAGGCGGCCCTGAAGCGCTCCAAGAAGGCACCGAGACAACCAAATCATGCTCCCAGGACGGCCTCCGAAGGCGTCACACGGGTTAAGAGCGTCCTAAGACGGCCCAAGAGGCCCCAAGAGGCCCAACATAGGACTCCGAGGAGGCAAACAAGATTGATTTTCCATAGCTCGCCATCGCTCGGGCGTCCATTATGTGTGCATTGTTCGGTTTCGTTCGTTATTCCACGGGGTGATCCAAGATGCTCCTCTATGGCCCTCGCCGAGAAACATGCACACGTCCGTGCGATGCCAAGAGAAAAGTTTGAATGATGTTGGGGTTGCGATAATGTTATCCCTCTCCTCCTCCTTCTCCTCCTCCTCCTCCTCATCCTCCTGCTCCCCCTCTTCCTCCTCCTACCTACCGCCCAGGCGAGGGTGAGGTCAAGTTCATGACCCGACCCAGTCAAGACCGATTACTGAACTGTAGCGGGGCGTCAACTCGCCTTCCCTGCTACAGCGCGGGCGAAGCCAAGGTTGAGTTCGCGGCCCTTTTCAGTTCAGATCAGTCATGCGAACTGCACTGTCCCTACACCCAAAATCCTTGCAGCTACGCTGGTGCACGGGCACGATGTCGGGGTTAGCTGCAGGCTGATGAACATGTCTGTACATATATCTCTATATATGTATACATACGCTAACACGTACGGATGTGCACACCTATATCTATATACATATACATAAAGTATGTTTGCAACGATGTCTACATACTAAGTGTGATATGTATATGTATGTATATACATTTGTACATATGCGTATGTATACTTATATCGATATACCGAGTATTCCCAGCCCAACAGCTTGTAAACAAAAACGCTTACCCCACACCCTGCCTTCCAGCCCCCGCTGTGCGCTCCCGCAAAGCGTCCCCGCAGCCCTCCAGACCTCACAGACGAGCCTGCCGAGCCTTGCAGACGTTCCAATGTCGGCCAAGAGCGTGCCCAGGTGTTGCATCCCCCCAAAAAAACAAACAAACAAACAAACAAACAAACAACCTGGGGCTGGAGGCGACCGCCCACAAGTCTCCGAGGAACGCAGCGAAGCCTCCGAAAGGCCCCACATCTGTCCAAAACCTGGAGCTATCATGTGTGCTTGGTTTCGCATGCACTCCGGCTCAACATGGCGCCAAGGATACCAGGATAATAAACTTGAGGAATAAGCAGGCATATCTTCGAGCACAGACCTCCCACTTTAAGGGTTCTTACTTAGGTCACTCCAAGAATCGGATGGGTGGGATTCGCCTGGTGCACAGTTGGTCACGAAGGGATTCGCCTGGTGCCCAGTTGGTGGTCGTCCGTGGGCGTCCGCTGGGTGGGTGTGCCGAAATTTCTTCTGGTGCCCGCCCGTAGGAGCCGTCGTTCGCCGGGTGGGTGCCGAGTGTTCGCCGCACGTGGGCGCCTCGAGGACGCCTTTTCGCGCTGAAGGCCGCATAGCTTGCCCCACATGGCTCACACCACACAGCTTGCAACACGTGGCTTGCACAGATGAGACTGCACAGCGCAGCTTGCACACCAGAGCCTTTCCCGTAAAGGGCATAGGCCCAAGGTTCTCTTTTAGTATGTAAACTTGTCCACGGTGCCTCAACTGAGGTGGGCCGGCGGACTCTTCCCCTGATAAATATCGAGGTCGAGGTGGACCGGCGGATGAAAATTTGAGGATGTCTCAGACGAAACGCTTGTTTTTGAAATCAAGATCGATAAATCCCAGGGTGCGGGCCACTCTTTCGTGTGTTGAGGATGTCTCGAGCGAAACGCTTGCTCCGCAGAGTTACCGATGATGTCTCGAGCGAATCGCTTGCACCCCAGCACGACCAAACTCCAGTACGACCACACCCCAGCATTACCCCACCCCAGCACGACCCCACCCCAGCAAGACCATCACCCAGCACGACCACGCCCCAGCACGACCACGCCCCAGCACGACCAAGCCCCGGCACGACCACCCCCCAGCAAGACTACCCCCCCAGCACGACCACCCCCCAGCACGACCACCCCCCAGCATGACCACACCCCAGCACGACCACACCGCCTTGGTTGAAAGGTTGCCTGTCGTCGTGGAATGTTTCGTGGGGTGTCTCGTGGACTGTTTCGCGGGGTGTCTCGTGGAATCTTTCCAGGAAAACGTTGAAAACGGTCGCCCGTGTCTCGTGGAATGTTTTGCGGGGTGTCTCGTGGAAGTGCCCGTCGCTCAATACGGTGTCGTGAAAACGTTTCCATGCATGCGGCTCTATATATCCCTTTCCGGGTTCGTGGGTCCATGAATGTTTCGTGCGCCACGAAGTTTGCACTTCCCAACTTACACCGCATTAGCTCACAGCACAGCCTACTTGCACCACACAGCTTGCACCGCATGGCTTGGACCGCATAGCTTGGACCGCATAGCCTGGCTCACATAGTTTGCACATCCACAGTGCAGTAACTTAACGTTGAGGGTTCACTCTGGCAAGCAGCGTGTGCTGCCAGAGGGAAGGATAAGAAGATGATGCCGTGGCGGTCAGGAAGGCCCCTGCACGCCGTGCTGCCGACGTGAGAGACCTTCCCTCGGAGCCACTCCGCCGCCCTCCCAGCGCCCCTGACAAAACATGGAAAGCAACTCTTAGAACCCGAGTCATCCGATATGGGCGGGCGCCGAGAAGGGCAGAAGGGGGATGGAAAGTGGGGAGGAGGAACCACGAAGACGACGCCGACAAAGATGAACATACAAAAAGACGACGGAGGGAATAGGCAGCGGCGACGCGCGAGCGAACTTACCAGCCTCGAACGTATCCCTATCCCTAAGATTGACACGCCTAAAGGCGATGAACATCTTAGGAATTCGCCCTGAAAATCTTAGGAATTCGCCCTCAACAAATAAGGGAATCCCTAAGATTGGCATCGTGATGAGGAAGTGCCCGGGATACGTAGGGATATGTTCCAGGCTGGTAACGAACGAACGAACAAACGGACGATGTCACCACCAGCGACGACGACGGACGACGAGCGAAAACTTGGGCGACGACGGACGACGACCGAAGGCGACGACTTTCGACGAACAAACGAACGAGCAGACGACGACGGCAACCGCAGCGAGCAGCGACGACGCCGTGCGACGACGGACGACGTTCGACGGCGACGTTTGCGCTGCCCTGAGGGCGGCGGGTCAGGCAGCGGAGGGAGCCATGGCCTCCCCGTGCTGCGGCGAGCCGTTCCCGACCTCGGCGGTGCAAGGAAAGAGCTGAGGGAGAAATGGAGTGAGCACCACGCGCGCTGGGGAAACGGTCGCACTCTTTCGGGCGTCAGAAACACGTGAGCCTCGCCGATTTCTACGAGTTAGGGCGCAGCGGTGTCCCGCTTTCTCCTGTCCAAGGCCCGCTGCCCAAGGCTTTCCGCCTCAGCACGGGCGGAAGAGAATCCAAACATGGAAAGCCCGCGGCAAGGTCGACCCCGCATCCCTGAACAGTGCTCGGTGATTGGAACGAGGGGGGAGGAGGGGAGGAGCGAGGAGGGAGGGAGGAGGGAGGGATCGAATGAGTTGAATGAGGGAGGGGGCGGAGGGAGACAGGGAGACTGGGGCGGACGAAATAGGGGGCTCTCCGGAGCCGCGTCTGGGCCGCGGAGGCGAGGAGGCACGCCGAAGGCGCAACAGCGAGGAGGTCTTGGGATTAGGGATCGGCGGCGCGTCGAGGGGGGAAGGCGAAACGGGGCGGGCCTCAGGAGGGCCGTCAGCGCTACGCAGAGGCTCGGGAGCCTTCTTCTCTGGGCCCTCCTGGGAAGCCTTCGGGCCTTGCTGGGGCCCTGGCCCTCGGGGCTCCCTGAGAGGCTGGGAGGCCTTCGGCCTGGCCGAGAAGCTCTCTGGGCCTCCTCCGAGGGAACGGTGGGCTTCTCGGGAGGCCGGGCCCTGGCCTCCGGATCACGACGTGCAGGCGCCGCACGCCGGGCCATCTCGGGGCGCACGTCGTGACAGCAGGGGTGGCGGGGCACAAGCGGTTCCGGGGCCCGCCCATTCGGGGTCTTGGGCCCGCCCGGAGTCGACCAGGGGATCGACTACGGAATTGATCCACCCCGGGATTGAATGTCTGGTCGGATCTACGAGAAGCGCAGTTGGGGCGTTGACCCGAGGAACGATCATCAAGGAACGAGGCCCCCCTTTCCCATACGTTAAACTTCGATTCCCCATCGAGAACTAGAGGAAAACCAAAGGTAGACTGCTGTGCAACAACTGAGGAGCACGGAGCCCCTCCAAAGCGAAAAAAGGTTCCTTCCTCAACGCCCCGACTGTATGACGACACGTCGGTCGGAATGATTGGGTAGAAGCAGGCCAGAAGAGCAGCTCGTTCCTTATGAACATATACGTAACCGACATAGTCGCAATATCCGTAACTCCGTGACTCCTCCTCCCCCCCTCGGAAATAGGCCCCCCGGTGGACCAGGCCCCCACGCCTCCGCCCTCCTCCTCCTCCTCCTCCTCCTCCTCCTCCTCCTCCTCCTCCTCCTCCTCCTCCTCCCCCCCCGGTGGACCAGGAGGCCCCCCACGCCTCCGCCCGCGGGGTGCATGCGAGCGCAACGGTGCGGAGCTGGGAGCGCGCGCGACGGCGCGGCGCAGGGAAGGAGGAGGCAAAAGCAGAGAGGAGGAGGAGGACGAGGAGGAGGAGGAGAAGAAGGACGAGGAGAACGAGGAGGACGAGGAGAACGAGGAGGACGAGGAGAACGAGGAGGATGAGGACGAGGAGAACGAGAACGAGGAGGACGAAGAGAACGAGAAGGAAGAGTAGAGGCCTCCTAGATGTGGTCGGAGCAGATGGGGTCGGAGGATCGCGACGCATCGCCGATGCATCGCCGATGTATCGCCGATGCAGCGGCGATGCACCGGCGATGCACCGGCGACGCGGGCGATGCACCGGCGATGCATCGTCGACGCGGGCGATGCATCGGCGACGTCGACGTGAAGCACATCGGGCTCCACGTCGAGCCGCATCGGCGATGCATCGGCGATGCGGCGCGATCCTGCGACCCGATCTGCTCCGACCCCATCTAGGAGGCCTAGAATGAGAGCCTCCGTGCGCTCGCCGAGCGCGAAGTGCAGAAGCGCAGATGCGTCTTGCAGACCTCCACCCTGCCTCGATCCTCGATCGCCCATCGATCCTCGATCCTAGATCGACTCTGCCTCGATTGGGGAAACCAACATGTACCGATAGGGCCACTCCCCGGATCTCTTCCCCCCAGTACCTCTCCCGGGGAACGTTCTGACCAGGATTTCGGGGCGAATACAGCCGTGGCGACGAGGGCCTCCCAAAAGGCCCAAGAAGGATAAAACGACCGAAGGGTAGCGGTATGGATACCTCTTGATCCCCTAACCATTCACCCTCAATCCTCGATCGACTCTGCCTCGATCCTCGATCCTCGATCGATGCTGCCTCGATCCTCGATCCCATGGCCCTCGAGTTGGGCGCGAAGTAATGGGGGGGCGATCGTTGGGGGGAAAAGGCCCCCTCTGGGACCCCAAAGGCTCGATGGCCCTCTTTCTGCAGCCCTCGCTGCGCGTCCTCCGGTCGAGCGATCCTCGATCGATGCCGCCTCGATCCCCGATCCCCTGGCTGAGGGGCAACGATAAGGGAGGATAGGCATAGGGGGGGATGAATCGACTTGGAATCGGCAATACATCGTCGATAGATCGGCGATGGGCCCCCGATGGTGAGAGTCCGCACCGTCCTCTGCAGGTTGGGGCTGTCGGGCCCGTATCGGCGATCAGTGGGCGATTCGGGGTTGATGCATTCCCCCCTATGCCTACCCCCCCCTATCCGTGTTCGTTTTTTTTTGTTACGGCGGATCCGATTTCTACCCTGCTTATATATATACACACATATTAATCAAGATTGAAACGGGGATCCGGAAGAGATCGGATCCGCGGACCCCAGAGCCCGCCCGTGTTTAAGACTCCGTGGGGGAAGGGGCTCGGCCATGAACCTCCACCTCACCATCGCCACTCGCACCTCCCGAGGAAAACCTCTCCTCCTGCCTAGGTCTGCCCCCCCCTCCCCCTTTACCCTTTGCCCCCGACTGGCCCTCGACCACGGGCCGCGCGCCGCCCCGGCGGCCCGACCGCCCGGCGGCCCGCGGAGGCCCGCCCGCCGGGGCGCCGCCCGTGGGGCCCCGGCCAGCGGCAGCGCGGTGTCGCTGTCGGCCTGCAGGCGGTGGTACAGCAGCGGCCGCCCGGTGGGCACGCCGGCCTCCTGGCGCGGGGGCGCCCGGCACGGGAGCCGAGGGGCAGCGGCAGGGGGGGGGGGACGGGCACTAAAGGGGGGGGGGGGGCATCGGCCTGGAATCGGGGATGCATCGTCGACGGATCGGCGGTAGGCCTGCGATAGGGAGTCCGCGCCCTCCTGGGCAGGCTGGGGCTGTCGGGGCCCTCTCGGCGATCCATGGGCGATTGGGGTCGATGCATCCCCCCCTATGCCGATCCCCCCCTATCGTTGCCCCCGAACCCGAGGTGTCCCCAGACCCGCGCGGGTCATGAGAAAATCGCGACGGGGGGGGGGGCTTTTTTTTCCCCTGATCTCGGCCTCTGGGGGACCATCACAGAAACGACTCTCAGGATGAGACACCGGTCCCGGGGAATGGGTGCGGGCCTCTGGGGGTCGCGTCATGAAAAATAAGCCTGGCGAAAAAACCCACCATATGCAGCTGTGGGTACGGCCGTTGTATGCACCGCATTCGGTGGAGCTCCAGATGAGGCCGCGAAACATGTGAGGGGTGTGCCAAAATGGGTGGGGTGGGCGCATGCGAACGCTGGCAGTTGGGCCTTCGGTGGGGTCCCCATGGGGGCCACGAAACGTATGAGGGGCGTGTCAAAATGGGCGCGGTGGGCGCATGCGAACGCTGGCATGGGCAGCGATGGGGCCACGAAGGGCTGCAACGGGGCCACGATGGGCAGCGAGTGGGCCATGAGGGGCTGCAACGGGGCCACGAAGGGCAGCGAGGGGGCTACGAAGGGCTGCAACGGGGCAACGAAGGGCAGCGAGGGGGCCACGAAGGGCTGCAACAGTGGGCCACGAAGTGCAGCGAAGGGGCCACGAAAGGCTGCAGCTGCAACGGTGGGCCGCGACCCGCCCGCGACCCGCCCGCGACCCACCCGCGCTCCAAGAGCGCCTCAGAGAGCCCAAGATGACCTCCAAGATGGCTCAAGATAGCCCAGGATATCTCAAGGTGGTTCCGAAGATGCTCCTAGAGGCCCCAAGAACGTTCCAAGACGGCTCCAGGTAGCCACGGACCCTCCCCACGAGGCCGCCAAGAGGCCAACATCCTTCCAAAACCTAGGGCAAGTCAATGCTTGTTGCTTTCTCGCTTTTTCGCTCCCAAGGCCTCAGGATGGCTCCAAGATGGCCCAAGAGGGCCTCAGGAGGGGTCCAAGAGGCCTCCATGACGACTCCAAGACCGTCCAAGAGCGCTCCAAGAGCGCCCCAAGAGGCAATGTGCTGCTCCCGAGGAAGGACCCTACTTGAAGCTCCCCTCTTGTTTGATCGATGTGTTCCAAAACGGTTCCAAGAGCACACCTGAAGCTTTCAAGAGCGCCCCAAGCAGGCCCCAAGTGGCGCCCAGACGGCCCCAAGAGGCGCCCAGACGGCCTCCAAGAGGCTCCCAAGAGACCCCCCAAAGGCACCAAGAGGATCCCCGAGGCACCCACCCAAGACGCTCAAAAATGGCCCTGGGCTCGCCAAGATGCCCCAACAGACGCCCCAAGAGGCCTCTACAAAGCTTCTAAAAGTCATCCGAGGAGACTCCGAGAAGCGTTCAAGAGGCTTCTGGCTCTTCTGTTCGCACTGTTCCTCCTCCTCGTCCTCCTCCTTATCTTCCTCCTTCTCCTTGTCTTCATTATCCTTGTCCTCCTCCTCCTCCTCCCCGTCCTTTTCCTCTTCCTCCTTCTCCTCCTCCTCTTCCTCATCCGCTTGCTCCTCCTACCCCCTCGCCTCTAATCCTTATGCTCGCCTTCCACCTCCCTTTCCTCAATTCCTCAATTCCTAACTAAGAACGGCCCGCTGTGAAAGCTTCCGTCTCCTCCTTTTCCTCCTCCAGCTCCTCCTCCTCCTGCTCCTCCTCATCTGCAACTCATCCCTCCGCCTCCTCCTCCTCTTCCTCCTCCTTCTTCTCCTCCACCGCCTCCCTCGAACGATAACGACTGTCTCCCATTTTGCTCCTACGTTTCCATGATCGTCTCAACTCGCTTGGGCGTCGGTTTTGGTTGGGCTGGTGGGAGTGTACGAAAGGTCAAGCATTTTGCTTTGTGTATCCGCTGGCCCTTCGGCGTGTGTGAGACGCTGTCGTCGTCGCCGTCGTCAACCCCCAAAAATTAGAGGAACGAGCGGGAAAGAGAAACGTCGCAATTACATTAATTCCTTCCTGTTCTTTTCTCTTTACCTGACGGGTAACCCTAGGGGGGGGGAGGAGAGCTTCGGGGGGGGTCCAGGATCAAAGTCCCCCCCCCCCCCCTGGGGGGGTTCTGGCGAATCCCGGGGAGTCCAATCTCCTCCCGCTCCCGTCCCCTGGCCCCCCCTGTGAACAAGGAGGGCCAAGGGGTGGTCCCCCCGGGACTGGGGCCGATCGCAACCAGTTCGGGGCGACCGTCGACGACTTCGGACTGATCACGACTGGCTGTGACTGGACCGAGATGGTTGCGATGTTTGGGGAAGGCACTTGCGATCGGGCCGATCACCGACGGTTCACTACATCGGACTTGCGCAATCGGCGTGCTGTATTTTACGTTGCCCAATACATTGTGCAATCAATGTGGTGCAACTTATGTGGTGCAATCCACGTGACGCGCGTTTATGCGGTGCAACCGACGTGGTGCAATCCAAGTGGTGCCACCGATGTCATACGTCTCTCAATGATGCATTTATGTGGTGCAATGCATGTTGCCATTTATGCTGCGAGCTCTATTGGTGCAACCTGCGTTGTGCAACCTATGCTGTGCAATCTACGAGGCACAATATATGATGCACAATATGTACGGTGCAATCTATGTGGTACATTCAACTTGGTCCAGTGTACGCGTTGCAATTTTTGGGTGTCAGTAATTCTGTCCGCAATGAGTTGCCAACACGAAAACTCGCGCAATCGTCCCGCCCACCCAGCCGTAACCTGGACTGCAAAACCCATACGGCGGCGATTGCGATGACTGTCCGGCGCTGGCTGGGGACTCCCCAGCGCATCTCGCAGGCCGCGCTGACGCGCGGGCACTTCACTGGGAATCGGCGGCCCGGGCGGGCGCAGTGCCCTGACGACGTCGACAACGGCAGACACGATGATGATGGTAGAGATTATGGTGACGATGATGACGACGACGGCAAGACCAATGACGGCGCCGATGCTGGCCACGCCTATAGCGATGATGGCGTCCACGTGTCGCTGGCGAAGGTCTTGGAAAAAAGTTCGACATTCTCGCGCGGCCGACGCGTGCGAGTGGCCCGCATGCTACTATCTGATCGGAATTGTGTCCCCCCCCCAGCAAACGCGCCAGGACGTTCGAATGATTTTGACATGCGCGCGCGAGAGCCCTGTTTGGTCGATGTTCCTGGAAAGTTTGAAAACAAATATGCGGCTTTCGCAAAAAGGTTCGCAAGAACGCGCACATGTTTTGCAAGACCATCGGTGTTCATGTGTGTTCGGGAACCTCAATGTCAAAACCCAACCAAAGTTTTGCAGGATTTCGGCCTTCGCGCGCGACGACGCGTGCGCGTCGACTTTGTCGCATATTATCTAAGGCATGAAAGACAAACGATGATTTGGGATCAACGGCTGCGAGCGCATAGTACTTGACAAGGACGACGGTGGGGGGACGATGGCGGCGTGCCTGGGATGGTGTGGATCCATACTTAAGATGAACGGTGGGGCAGAATCGCACGGGAATAGTTGTGGTGCAATACTACGGCGGCCCAGTTCCTTGCAACAGAAGTTATAATGCCCAAGTATAAGCCTTGTTTGGGGAATACCCGAGAGTACCTATGATGGTCCCAAAGGAGCCATGGATGCCCAACAAAACAAAAACAAAACGAAAGCATGTCCACCACCTTCGAACTGCCACCAGGACCAGTCCGATTCCAATGATTGCAATCTGCACCAAGTGATTCCAGAACGGCCTGTTTCCTTTGAGCAGAAGTAAGAACGCCTGAGTACAAGTCTTGCTTGGGGAATATCGAGGAATACCGATGATAACTCCACAAGTTCTACGAATCATACCCACCACCGTCAAGATGCCACCTGTGCCAGCTCGGGAACCCGAGTGGATGGGAGACAATCCCGGTGGTCGCCGTCGTCACAATATCGTCGCCGGTGTTTCTGTGTCCCTTAAAATGCTAGCGGGCTCGAAACATGCGCTCATCTGTGTCCCATGCCGCTAGCGAAAGCCCAGGGCCCCTGCGCTCAGGAATCCTCAGGAATCATCCTTCAAGAATCCTTCAGAATTCCTCGAGACCCCCGCAGGAATCCTCAGGAGTCTTCCGGAATCTATAAGACTCCCTCTGCAATCCTTCAGGAATCCCTCCAGGACTCTAAGAGGAATCCCTCAGGAAGCCTAAGAGGAATCCCTCAGGATGCCTAAGAGGAATCCATGGAGATTCTTTACGAAGCAGAAGAGGCGCCAACGAAGCGCATATCAGAAGCACCTCATAGGCGCGTCAAGCGCCGGGAAGATGAAATCAGCTTCCCTGGTTGCAATCTGGCGTTCGCCTTCTAGGATTAGTGCTGGAATCCCACACGTTGGAGTCAATCCGTTTGCAGTGCTTCCTGGTTCGTGAACGGCCCGATGTGGTTGGGATCGGCCTCAATTTCTTGTCCCCCATGCCGACATGGGGAACTCGGTGCTCCCCCTTCCCCTCCCCAGTCCCCCCTGTGGACAGGGGGGAAAGGGAGAACTCAAGACCCCTCCCCCACCAAGCCTCCCCCCGATCCCCCCCGTGCACAGGGGAACCCGAGACTCCTACCCTTAGGTCGGCCATGTCCTCCTACAGGCGGATTTTGGAAGAACAAATGACAACACATACTCGAAACTGATAGAAAAAACACAACAAATCGACCCCTGATTGGTTCTTTTGCGTTCTTGCCTGTAGAGGGACATGCCCGACTTAATCCTACCCCCGCCTTCCTTCTGTGGACAAGGGGACAAAGGGGACCACCCCCTCCAGGGGGGTCGCCAACGGGAGTCCCCGGGATGCCTGGGAGGGGGGGCGCCAACGGGGATCCCAGGGGAGGTTCCGCCTTCAGGGTCGGCGGCACCAGCTGCAAGGCCTTCACGATACAAACAAAAGCAGCAGTGGCCCTCTGGGGAGGGAGGGGAGGGGGTCCGCTCCATATGGCTGCCCAAGCCAAGGCTAGCCAAAGGATGGGGAAATCAAATAGTACCGATGGCGCTACTCCCCGGACCTCTCCCGGGGTGCGTTGTGACCACGATTGCGAGACGAATCCAGCGGTGGTGACGAAGGCCTCCCATGAGGCCCAACAGGGCGAAAACGAGGCAAGGGTACAGGTATCAGTACCTTGCTCTTCCCCGAGACGGGATCAGTGTTAGGTCGGGCATGCCCCCCCACAGGCGGCTTGTGGACGAAGAATCTAGAATAGTCAAAAAAGACTCCCAAATGGTCAAACATATCTTAAAAAATCGTCCCCTGACTATGTTTTGCCTATTTTTGAATATCCCCCCTGTAGAGGGGCAGGCCCGACTTCAGATCAGGGATGGACCGACCCGCGAGCGCTGGGCCCCCCGCCACCTGCGCCCCGATGCCCTCCTGTCAACTCCTGGTCCCTGCCTCGGGCACCAGGCGGCGGCTCGGGGCGACTCCCACCTCCCCGGTGGGCCTTCAGCGAGACGCAGCTGAGGGCGACCAACCCAGGCCCCAAACTCGGCGGCGAGGGAGGGGGGGGGGAAGTGAGAGGAGAATACCTTCCCAGAAGTCGGCGGGGCTTCTCAGAAGCCCTGGCCTTCTGAGAAGTCTTCCGTGTCTGCAGGGAAGGCTTGGAACACTGATCAGAAGGTCGGGGTCTCCCGCGCCTTCTGAGAAGGCCCGCCCCCTCTCACATTCTCCCCGGGCTGGCCGCTGGGAAACACCTCCGAAGCCATCCGAAAATGCTCGCACGCTTTCGGTTGCAGAAATGTGGGGCGCAACGCGGTCAACAACCAAACAGAAAGACGGCGCCACCGGCGCGACGGCGGGCTGTCCTGGGGCCCCCTGGGCAAGCTCCTGGACGAAGTCTCCGGCAGCGCATCCTCGGAAACGGTCGTCGCCGCCGTCGTCGTCGTCGTCGTCGTCGTCGTCGTCGTCGTCGTCGTCGTCATCGTCGTCCTCGTCCTCGTCCTTGCCCTCTCCCGTTCCGGCGTCCTGCCGCAGGAGGGGGGAGGCAAGCTGGGTGCGCTCGCGGCATGTCCGATATCGTATCCGTCCCACCCATCCATTACCATCGCGCTGACTTTTGTTTCTATTCGCCGACGCGTGCCAGAGCGGACCTGGAGTTCCAAAAAGGACCCCATCGTGCAATGCGCAATCGGGAAAAGAAGGAGCTGCGTACATTGGAGGAGGAGGAGGAGGAGGAGGAGGAGGAGGAGGAGGAGGTGGCGGATGAGCAGGAGTAAGAAGAGGACACTGAGGAAGGAGGAGGACGAGAAGAAACAACACCAGCAGGACCTGAAATGGGAGAAGAGGGAGGATAGGAATGGCCAGGTGCAGGCGGGGGCAGGGAAAGGAGCGGGGCGACAGCGACCACGTCGCACTCGGATCCAGAAAAAGTGGCCCGCGCTGGGGCGGGAGCGCCATTTTGAAAGATGCTGAAGCCCCACGCTGCAGCGGCAGCAATGTTTTGCGACACCGAAGACATCCCGATGACAAAACATAAGATAACGACATCCAGTGACAACAAATCTGCGGAGGGGGGCGGGCCACTCCCTGGCCATCGTCTGAGGAGGGAGGAGAGTATGCACTATGGAGTACGCATCGGTCAGAAGAAGTAGGTCGAACCATGAAGTAGGACGGCGTTGGAAATAGCTTGGGTCTCCGACCGCCTCCTGAAGAGAGGGAAAAGGGAAAACCACTCGATCATTGAAGTAGGAAGGCGGCTAAAGTAGACTGGAACCTGGGAATCCAAAAATACCAATTTTCAACGACCGATTGGTAATTGCAGAAACTTCACATGCTGCAGGGAGCGTAACTACCACGCGGTCCCGAAGGGCCCTGGCCCAAACCCGAACCATCGCCCGGTCAGCCCTTCGGCGAAGCCTGCTCAGGAATGATGTAAGGAGGTGGGATATTCAAAGGGCTCTTTCGGCACGAGGGGGACCCACCTACAGTCAGAATATGATTCAGCAAGTGTGGGGTTAGTCTGAGGGGCTAGCTAGGGAAGAATGGAAATATCTACTCCAGACTTTCGAAGACTCGATTTCTTTGCATCGTCAGCCCATGGAGGTCTCGACCCCTAATTATCCCAGGACTGGCTCGACATTGTGCATGGTTGGGTGGTGGAGTCCTGCGAACTGAATAAGTCTACAGACGACGAGAACCGAAAACAAGATCCGCCACCGCGCTTGCAGCGGTAGATGTGTGTGTGGTGTGTGTGTGGTGTGTGTGTGTGCGTGTGTGTGTGTGTGTGTGCGTGTGTGCGTGTGTGTGTGTGTGGGTGTGTGTGTGTGTGTGCGGGTGTGCGGGTGTGTGTGAGACGAGTTCTTGCGTTCGCCTTTGTCTCCAGCCTGCGCTGGGCGCTGCTCCCCCGCGGGCGCCTGCCTTCGGTGGACGCCTGGCTGGCCGACCCCCCAGCTGCCGCCTCGCCGCCGCTGGGCCCCCCCCCGTCGTCGCCCCCCGCCGCCGCCCGGCCCCGCTCTGAGCGGGCCCGGCTTCCTCCTCCCTCCAGCCATCGCCAGGCGTTCCTCCGCTCCTCCGTGCATTGCGGCTTAATTCGCAATTATTCGTCCAACGTTTGCTCCTCCGCCAGCGCAGTCGCTCTGCCTCGCCGCCGACGCCGAAGTGGGTGTGTGTGTGTGTGACGAGGCCGGCCGCGCCATGCGCGCTCAGGTCGGATGTCTTCCGCCTCTGAGTGCCCCCTGCTCCCTCCTCCTCCGCGGCCGCCCCGCCTGTCTCAACTCTTCTTTCCTGCGCGCTGGCAAACTCGCTTCTCGTTGCCCCCGTTGAGATCTATCGCTGGTGAAGCCATTCTGCCTCACCGCCGACGGCAAAAACGAGTGTGTGTGTGTGTGTGAGTGTGTGTCGGGCCCTTTCACTCCTTGCAAAACATTATGAAGGCCTCCCGCCGCATCGAGACCGAAATGCGCTTATTTGTGCAACCAAATCCGTACGTTTTTGATTTGTAAATCCCTACGTTTTTGGTTTTGTAAGCAGAACATGTCCCAAATTACACAATGTGTGATCCTATGTGCCAATTACACCTGCCCCCCACCGCCTCCCACCCCACCCCCGACCCACCCCCGGCCCCCGGCCAGACCCTCCCCCCCCCGCCCGAGCTCGGTGGCGGAATCGCGCGGCAGCACAACTGAATAAAAAACTATGGAGTCTGGTGCGGTGTTTCGAGACCCCAAAGTGGTCCCCCTTTCAGAACACCGTTCCCCGTTCCCCATCGTCGTCATCGGTCGTCGTCTTCGTCAGTCAGCCGGTCGTCCTCGATCGTCGGTCGCCAGTCCTCGGCCATCGTCTTCAATCGTCGTTCGTCGCCGTCTGGGCGACGCCGATGCCGACGCTGTCGACAGCAAGGCTGCAGTCATCGACGACAGCGACGCCGCCGCCGTTGTCGCCACGTCGTCGCTCCGCTGCCGTCGTCACGCCGTCGCCGCGCCGCTATTGCTGCGCCGTCGTCGCGCCGCCGTCGCCGCTGTCTTCGCGCCATCGTCGTCACGCCGCCGAGACGTCGTCGCCCCCTCTGGCCGGAGGCGGCGTCCTCGGCGTGGGCGGCCCTGGGAAGGAGCACGCGCACCCCGACGAGCATGGCCTCCCACCGCGGGGGCGGCGGCGCCAATCCGAGCGCCCGCGCCCTGGCCCTCCAGAGGGGGCGGGAGGAACAACGACGGAGGAAGATTGCCACCGCTCGGACGTCCATTCCCCGTGCGTTGTTCCCCAATCAGCGCTTGCACTGAAGGGGTCCTGGCGGAAATTGAAAGATGTAGCGAAAATGTCCCGCCGATTCTGGTGGCCGGCTGGGTGCCCGGGGTCCCGGCTCATTCCCCGTGCACTGCTTGGTTTGGTATTTTTGCCCACATGTTTCGTGGGGTTCTGGTTTTCTTCCCTGCCGCGTCTCACCCGCGTTTCTCCTTCTCCTTCTCCTTCTCCTCCTCCTTACACAGAAACAATAAACGCACACACACACACACTGACACCGCCAGTGCACGCTTGGCGTGTTCACCGCATCACACAGCCAAGACGCATGCACAACATACTGGGCACCCACATGAGACACACCAAAAGGCACGCAACACAAACACTAGCGCACCCCTGACGTATTGACTGCATCATACACGGGGGTGCGCACGGGGTGGTCTCTCAGGCGCAAGCGGCGTCCACGACACTGTCGCAAAGCCTAGCGCGCGAGGAATTTTCTCGACACCAAAGGGGGTGCGCACGGGGTGGTCTCTCAGCGCGGCCGCTATCCACGACACTGTCGCAAAGCCTAGCACGCGTAGCACTTTCTGAACACCATAGGGGGGCGCAGGGAGTAGTATCTCAGCGCGGCCGCTTTCCACGACACTGTCGCAAAGCCTAGCAGGCGTGACACTTTCTGGACACCATCGGGGCAACGCAAGGGGTGGTCTCTCAGCGCGGCCGCTATCCACGACACTGTCGCAAAGCCTAGCAGGCGTGGTGTGTCAGCGCGGCCGCTATCCACGACACTGTCGCAAAGCCTAGCAGGCGAGGTGCTGTCTCGACACCACAGGCGGTGCGCACGGGGTGGTCTTTCAGCGCGGCCGCTATCCATGACACTGTCGCAGAGCCTAGCAGGCGTGGCACTTTCTGAACACCATAAGGGGTGCGCAGGGGGTGGTCTCTCAGCGCGGCCGCTATCCACGACACTGTCGCAAAGCCTAGCAGGCGTGGCACTTTCTGGACACCACAGGGGGTGGTGTCTCAGCGCGGCCGCTATCCACGACACTGTTGCAAAGCCTAGCAGGCGTAGCACTTTCTCGATACCATAAAGGGGGTGCGCAGGGGGTGGTCTCTCAAGCGCAACCGGTGTCCACGACACTGTCGCAAAGCCCAGCAGGCGAGGTACTGTCTCGACACCACAGGGGGGGCGCACGGGGTGGTCTCTCAGCGCGGCCGCTATCCATGACACTGTCGCAAAGCCTAGCAGGCGTGGCACTCGCAGGGGGTGGTCTCTCAGCGCGGCCGCTATCCACGACACTGTCGCAAAGCCTAGCAGGCAAGGCACCTTCTCGACACCATAAGTGGGGCGCAAGGCGTGGTCTCGGAACGCGGCCGCTATCCGAGCCGGTCGTCCATGGCGTAGCAGGCGTGACATACTCTCGACACCATAGGGGGGGCGCAAGTCGTGGTTTCTGAGCACGACCGCTATCCGAGCCGGTCGTCCAGGGCATAGCAGGCGTGACATACTCTCGACACCATAGGGGGGGCGCAAGGCGTGGTTTCTAAGCACGGCCGCTATCCGAGCCGGTCGTCCAAGGCACAGCAGGCGTGGCATTTGCTCGATGCCATAGGGGGGCGCAGGTCGTGGTCTCTGAGCGCGGCCGCTATCCGAGCCGGTCGTCCAGGGCGTAGCATGCGTGGAACTTTCTCGACACCATGGGGGTGCGCAAGGAACGGCCACCAACATCATCATTCTCACATGCTTCACTTCAGCTATCATCACTCCAACCATAAAATGAAAATGTGGGGTTCCTCGGTAGCGTAATTTTTTGTTCCAAGATGGTCCAAGGTGCTCCAAGATGCTCTTGCACGCGGCCGAGCGATGCCACGGAGGAGGAGATGGGGAGGAGGAAGGACGGCGGCGAGGAATGGAAGATGGGCGAGGGCGGGGTGGAGGGGGGGGCAGGGGGGAAGAGAAGGGGAGGGAGGAGGGAAGGGCAAGTAAAGCAGGAGGGGAGGGACGGGGAGATGCAGGAAACATGGTGAGGATGGGGGGGCGAGATGGGGGACAAAAACGAAGGGAAGGGGGGGGGGCGGGGCACACCAGGAGAGAAAACAGGGGGGCAACTGGCGGGAGGGAAGCACGTTGGGCGAGGAATGCGCGGGGGAGAAGGAGGAAAGAGGGACAAAAGCAAAAGGGGGGAAGCAGGAGAGATTGAAATGGAATACGACTGAAATGGGGGAAGGAAGGTATGCGCTCCCTGTGCCTGGTTGCCAGAATGTGCTTGTAATGCAAAGTTCAGCTAACGCTGCGCAGTTGAACCAACATGCGCATGCTGCGCATTTGAACCATCATGCACACGAGGCCTGGACAAAAAATAAAGAGGCTAAACAAATACGTTTTGTGCAGGTTGCGGCGCCCTGGAATAAAAAACAGCATGACCAGCTCATTGATGGGCCTTGCTTTACATCAGACGCGAGTCCGCGCGGCTTGAGTATCTCACCGGTCGATGTTTTCCCCAGCCTCGTTCCCAAACCATTACGTATGACGATGTATGAAACCGCAAAGGTGCGCATCTGGAGGAAGAAGTGCCCGGCGAAATCCGACACCGCCTCTCTTTGAGCAGGGACCGACCGTCCCGGCATTCCTATAGGCCCGCCACGACATGTTCGTAGAGCCCTCAAATGTTCGAAAACAAAACACAATGTTCTTAGAACATAAGCCCGATGTGCTAAAACAAGACGGCCCCAGCCAGAAATGTTCTAAGCACATTTCGTGCAGACCACAAAAGGTTCTTAGAACATTCTTTGGTAGGCCTATAGGCACGCCAGGACGCTTCGCCACTGCTTGACTCTCTGGCGCGCGTCGGCTAATGAAAACATTACTTCGGACGGACGGGCAGGCGGGCCTGAACGACCAAACCCACGGGCGGATCCCCGCGGGCGGACGCCGACGACAATGACGAGCACGAGGGCCACGACGTCAGCGGAGACAGCGACGACGACGACGACGCCCGCGATGACTACAGCGGCCAAGACAAAGGCCATCACAGTGACGTGACCGACGACCTGCGTGACGATGACGAGGGCGATGGCGATGACGGCAACGAACAACGACGACACGCGATGGCCGCAACCGCTGAGGACCACACGCAAGCCGGGCGCGGTGGCGGGAGGGACCGAAGGCCGTCAGGTACCGCAGCATGATCGCTGACAATGCGAAACTGCTTTGCAGATGAACCGAACAAGCCGGCCAGTTGCAATCGCCAGCACCCCTTGGGGGGCCAACAGGTTGCGAGGTCAAGGTGCCCCTGTACAATGCCACACATCCCATGTTCAATGCTATACGTAATCCCAAAGACTACGTCCGCGCGTGGCCCCCGGCACGACATCCCCTGCGCTTCCCTCCCAAGAGGGGACTCTCAGCATCCATCGGGGTGGGCTGGGACGCACACCATTCAACAGACCTGTGCTCCCGAGGCCGCAGGTCCTTGCAAATTGCAGTAGGCTCGCGCTCCCGAGCCCATCCCTCTCAGATCACGGCGCACTCGCGCCCTCGATCGCCGTTTTTGTCCACGGTTCTAGCGCCGTTGTCTCAGAATCTTCGTTTCCCATGGTGGGGGCCTGGCCCGGATCACACTTTTTGCTACCAGATCCGAAACCCCAGAACCGGCCCGGATCACTTTTTTACCTGGCCCGGAACCCCAGACTGCCTGGGTCGTTTCGGTGAACAGCCCTGCCGTTGCCAGGGCCCACTGAGATCGGGAACCCTTCTCGCTCCTCAGCCTGTCGGGTGGGGGCAAAGCGCCCGCCCTGTTTTCTCCACGACGCGAGAGAGTGTGTCTGCTTTTCTGCGCCGCTGGCCGACAGGGGGCGATCTGGTTACCCAGGGAGCGCTCTCGGCGAGACGGAGGTGAGAAGACCTCCGAGAGCCCACAAGAACGTCCGAAACCTCCGCGAGAGGGAAACAACACGTTCTCTATGATTCGCGGTAATGAGGGGCAACGATCGGGGGGGACTGACATAAGCGACGTTGCATTGACCTGGAATCGGCGAATCATCGCCGCTAGATCGGCGATAGGCCTCCGATAGTGAATCCGCACCTTCCTGGACAGGTGGGGGCTATCGGGCCCCTATCGGCGATCAGTGGGAGATTGGGGGGTCGATGCATCCCCCCCTATGCTTGTCCCCCCCTATCGCTGCCCCTGAGGTAACGGACGGGACCGCCGCCCACCCCGGGTCACGTCACGATTCGTGTAGGCGCCGTCTGGGCAATGAGCCACTCCTTGGCAGTCTCCCAGACGGCGCCAGCGCGACTCGCGACGTGGCCAGCCCTCCCCCCCCCCTCGCCCCCCGGAGGTCACACCAGCAGGCGAGGAGGGGCGGGCCTTCTCAGAAGGCTCGGGAATCTCCTGGACTTCCGAGGGAACGCCTAAGCGCTCCCCGAAGGCGCAAGAATACCTCTCCGAAGGCGCGAAGGCTTCCGAGAAGCCCCGCCGCCTTCCGAGAGAGCCTGCTCCTCCTCACGCCCCCCCTCGCTCACCGCCGAGCACTCGCCAGGAGATGCGCAGACACCGTCCCTGTGCCCTACAGAGAGATGCACGAGCTGCGCACACTGCTCAAGATGCAAGAGATGCACAAGGAATCGCCAGGAGATGCACAAGACGCTCACCACCGGCGAGGGGCTGCGACCCCCACCACCACCGCGGCAGCGGCCGCGGCGGCGCAGAGGGGCGGGGGCAGCGGCCGTGAGGCTGCAGCAGCCGCCGATGAAGGCGGCCACCAGCTCACGGAGGTGGTCGTCCTCGAGCGCCCGCGTGCGCACGTAGAGGCTCTGGTACTTCTCCTGGGAGGGGGTCCTCTTCCTCCTCCTCCTGGTCCTCCTCCTCCTCATCCTCCTCCTCTTCCTCCTCCTTCTGCTCCTCTTCCTCCTCATCTTCCTCCTTCCTCCACCTCCTCCTGTTCTCTCCTTCACCCTCCCCCTTCCTCCTCCTCCTCTTCCTCCTCCTCTTCCTCCTCCTCTTCTTCCTCCTCCTGCTTTCTCCTCCACCTCCCACTCCTCCTCTTCATCCACTCCTCCTCCGCCTCGCACTCCTCCTCTCGGAATGTGCGTCGGATCGGGCTGCGCGGGCACGGAGCTGGGATCGGATCGGATCGGCCGCGTCAGGATGTGCAACAGCTTCAGGCAGGCATCGTGCAATGTCGGATTGATGGAACATCGAAATCGAATCTGACCGATCGGACCGAAATAAACTCTGGGAGGGGGGCAGGACCAGCCAACACTTTGACCTGAGGCACGAGTTGGATGGTCCTCAGGTCCCTTGAGCCCTCCGTCATCCGTCCTACGGTTCGAGTGCACACGGGCCCAGATCCCAAAAAGTCACATTTCCTGGGCGTGCCGCATGGTTCTGGGGTTCCCATCGTGCCCGCATGACTTTTTCGGGGCCGCCCATTTGTTTCCCAACCATCTTGTGGTGTTGGGTCCTCGCTTTGAAGAGAGAGTCCCCGCGTTCCTCCTTCCTTCCGTCCTTCCTTCCTTCCTTCCCTCCCCCTCTTTGGGGTGTCCGCATGGGGTTCCCCCACCCAGGGCAGCGCTTCGTAGCCCCATGGGGAACTCCACCGTAGGCCCCAGTGGGGGTGCCCGCATGCGGTTCCCCCACCCAGGGCAGCGTTTCGTGGCCCCATAGGGAGCTCCACCGTAGGCCCCAGTGGGGGTGTCCGCATGCGGTTCCCCCACCCAGGGCAGCGTTTCGTGGTCTCATAGGGAGCTCCACCGCAGGCCCAAGTGGGGCTGTCCGCATGCGGTTCCCCCACCCAGGGCAGCGTTTCGTGGCCCCATAGGGAGCTCCACCGTAGGCCCCAGTGGGGGTGTCCGCATGCGGTTCCCCCACCCAGGGCAGCGTTTCGTGGCCCCATAGGGAGCTCCACCGTAGGCCCCAGTGGGGGTGTCCGCATGCGGTTCCCCCACCCAGGGCAGCGTTTCGTGGCCCCATAGGGAGCTCCACCGTAGGCCCAGTGGGGGTGTCCGCATGCGGTTCCCCCACCCAGGGCAGCGCTTCGTGGCCCCATAGGGAGCTCCACCGTAGGCCCCAGTGAGGGTGTTCGCATGCGTTTCCCCCACCCAGGGCGGCGTTTCGTGGCCCCATAGGGAGCTCCACCGTAGGCCCCAGTGGGGGTGTCCGCATGCGGTTCCCCCACCCAGGGCAGCGTTTCGTGGCCCCATAGGGAGCTCCACCGTAGGCCCCAGTGGGGGTGCTCGCATGCGGTTCCCCCACCCAGGGCAGCGTTTCGTGGCCCCATAGGGAGCTCCACCGAAAGCCCCAGTGGGGGTGTCCGCATGCGGTTCCCCCACCCAGGGCAGCGTTTCGTTGCCCCATAGGGAGCTCCACCGAAAGCCCCAGTGGGGGTGTTCGCATGCGGTTCCCCGGCCCGGAGGTAGCGCCACCGAAAACGATATTCAGATTTGCGGTAGTCACAACTGCATATGGTTGGGTCCTTGGCCAGGCTGATTTTTAGTGCAGTCCTCGCTGGGTTTGTCTGCGGCGACGAGCAGTACGGCTCTCGTCCTGGCGGGGGTGTGCTTGCGTCTCAACATCCGGGAGCACCCACCTGCCGCGGGGAGTGCCAGGCGCTCGCAGCGGCAGCGCTCCACTATGCTGCCCCCCCCCCGCCAGGCGCCGAGAGGAAAGCAGGCGACGGTCAGTCCAAGCCGCTGCAAGCTTGGAGTGCCGCCGAGCAGTGGCCCTCAAAAGAGCCTGGAACACGGCTGCTGAGTCAGCAGCTTCTGAAACACGACGGGCGTTCAGGGCACAAATAAACGCATCCATGCAGGCGGCACGCTTTGAGGTCCCCCGTAAGCTCCAGGCCCCCAAAGGCCCCCGTAAGCTCCAGGCCCCGCGGCATGCCAAGAGACCCTCCAAAGGCCCCCATAAGCTCCAGTAGGCCCCAAGGGGGCCTAAATGGGGCCCCAAGAGAGGCCCCCGAGGAGCCCCCGAGACCCCGAGAGGTCCCGAAGACACCCCAAGACAGCCGCCAAGAGGTTGCCGAGAAGCCTTGGAGAACACCTAAACAAAAATGCGAGATAGGCCACTGCCCTACAGCCGAGGTGTGGTGGACGGATGGGTAGAAGAGCACTTAATTAATACTGGCGAAACGAATGGTGTTAGAATGATCGTATACGGATGGAGTCGGAAGAATGGCTTGTATTTACTTAGACGAAATATAAGCCATAGGTCCGATTATATCAGACTGTGTATGGGATCTGGATGACATCATAATGCCACCATTAGATCTCGCATAACTTCTACTAACTTGAATTTGCTGCACGAAGCACGAAGCACGCCATCACAAGGGCACCGTCGATGATGCTGCAGGTGTGGCGCCGGAGCGCCAGAGCGCCAGACAATGAGGCCCGATCAGAAATCCTGCTCGATCTTGTTCCAAAGCTCCGTTTTGATAACTTCCCATACATCTTGCCGTTGAGGCTGAAGATCTTGCCCTTGGGATTGGAGGTCGACAGTGCGTGGCCTTTCCTACCGAATTCCCCCGGAGTGGCTCCCCATCCCGAGCCTTTTCCGTTCCCGGCCCCGCGGCCCGAGCAAGAGAAGGACGCCGCAGAAGCCTCCGAGAATCTCTACATGATCGAGTCCCCAGAGGGCTGGGGGCACAGACGCAGCGCGCGGGCGCCAGGCTGTGCACAACCTTTTGGTCACGCTACAGCCATCGTGCTACCACGACATAAGGAACGCGTAAGAGAGAACGACGGGGCTTTTCTGGCCACGGCGGGCCTAGGCCACAAACAGGTTCCATGACATAGGTTCAAAGGACGGTCCGAAAACTCGAGCCCCTCCTGACCGTCCTTATTTCAGCATCTTGACTGTAGCTCGGCTCCCCAGGCCAGGCGGGCAACGAAAAGCAAGAACTCTTACGAACGATGCTGTAGCGACCAGACGCGGTGGCTACCGCGGGCCACACAGACGCAGCGGAAGGGCACGCCAGGCTGTGTACAACCCGCGAGAACGGCGCCCATGTACCGCACCATTCCTGGACTCCCTTCTGGCCTCCTGCGGCACGGTACGCTGCACAGCTCTTCGGCTCGGAGTCCTGTGTCGAAGATTGACGACGCTTCGAGAGACGCCAACGCGGTACGGTGCATACAGGTCGTCCGCGGACAGTCTACCTGAGCGACGAAAAGAAGCAGGTCTTACGCACGATGACATAGCGACCTTGCGCGGTGGCTTCCACGGGCCGCCGGCGTGGGGAGCGGCAAACCAGGCAACGGAATCGCGAATTGAGCACGAAGAGGAAGGGCAAAGAGGAGGACAGCCTTTGACCCAGACATGCGATGTAGTGCGGGATCCTGGGAGCCCCGGCCCCGTCCACGGGGGCGGTGTTTCATCCCGAGTCGTTTTGTTGGGGATCTTGGGGTCCGCTGAGGGCCCCCCAGAGGCACCCGCCCTGACTCCTTCACGACGCGAGCATGTCTGGGGAGGGCGGGGAACCACGCGAGCATGAGCCCGAACGTGCAGAGACGGGCCGAGCTGGTACGAGGGTGGCACGAGCGAGCGGGCGCCGGCCTGGAAGCTGTCCGCCGGGGCGGGCATCTCCCCCTTGCTGGCGGAGAGGTGGAGGTACCGGCGCCTGACGGGAGGATCGTCGTCGTTTTTGGACGCCCGAAATGGGTGCGGAAAACATGAGCACAATGCCCAACAACAAATGTTGTCCCAAACCAACAGCGGCCGCTGTTGGGCAGGCGGCCTTCTGTCTCACAGGGACACTGGCCGCGGCGGCGCGGACAGCGAGTCCTGCTCAAAATGAACAGGAACTGCTGTTGGGCATTGTGCCCATTCTTTCCATTCCCATTTCGTTCGCGCCGATCGTCGACCTTGGTGACAAAAAGAGCGGCGTACACATCAACTTCCGGAAGTCCACGCGGATTCCTTGGAACGGCGCTGGATCACCCCCCCAAGACAGCTTCCGACGGAGTCAGACGGGCCAGGAGCCCATCAAGATGGAAAAGATAGCACTAAGATGGCCCGCCCAAGACGGTCCAAAAGCCCCCCAAGAGGCCTCCAAGACGGCCCAAGAGGCCTCCAAGAGGGCCCCCAGGAAGACCCGAAGAGGCCAAACTCATTGATTTGCCTGAGGTTTTTAAAGGACTTTGGCATTTGCATATTTTCGGCCTTCCGACGGCCGTCCAACGGCCCTGGAGCCCAGAAAGATCGCCCAAGAGGCCTCCAGGACGGCCCCAGAACTGCCCAAGAGGCCCCAAAGACGGCCCCAAGAGGGCCCATGAAGCCTCAAGATTGCCCCAGGACGGGCCAGAGAGGCCCCCAAGACGGCAACAAGGGGGCCCCCAGACGACCCAAGTGGCCTCCAAGACGCCAAAGATGCCCATCAAGACGGCCCTGGAGTACCCCAAGAGGGTTCCTAGTCGGCCCAGAGAAGCCTCCAAGACGGCTTCCGACGGCGTCGGACGGGCCAGGAATGCCCAGAGACAGCCAAAGGGGCCCCCGAGAAGCCCCCACAGGCCCCAAGAGGTCCAAGGAGGCCCCCAAGATGCCTCCAAGAGGCTCCCAGGAAGCTCCAGGAAGGCCCCAAGAGTGCCCCCAGAGGCTCCCCTCCTCCTCCTCCTCCTCCTCCTCCTCCTCCTCCTCCTCCTCCTCCTGCATTCCTTCTCATTCTAAATCGCCTCTCCCTGTCGCACCCCGAAGCCAGTTTTTAGGGCGGGCTGGGCGTTTCGCCTGAGACTTCCTCACCACTCATTACTCTTAAGCTCAAGCAATGACAACAGTTTCACAGATGGAGGGCGGGTCGTTTTCAAAATGTGGCTCTCGCCTTAGCGCCGCGCACATTAGTTTTAAACATTGCGCGGACTTTCACGGAATGAAGGCGTGCTGTTTTCAAAATGTGGCTCTCGCATTAGCGCCGCGCACACTCGTTTTAAGCATTCAAAGAGCTTCACAGATTGACGGCGGGTCGTTCTCGAAATGTGGCTCTCGCCCTAGCGCCGCGCACATTCGTTTCCAACAGTTGCAAGAGTTTCACGGATGCGCAGGCAGGCCGTGCCAACCTTTGGAGACCCGAAACGGTGCGGTGACGCACCGTGCGGGGACCTCGGAATCCCCCAAGACCTCACCGCACGGTCCGTCACCGCACGGTCTTCGGACCCCGGAGGCCCCAGCCGCCCGAGACGTCCTCGGAGAACGACCCGAGTCCCAAAACCGTGCGGCGACCCCGAATCCCCATTGGCTCACCGCACGTTGCGGTCACCGCACCGTTTGGGGGCCCCCGACAATCCCGCCGCGCTGCCCCCCGCGAGGCCCCCCCGCGAGAGCCTGCTCGCGCCAGGCAGACCCTCCAAAAGCAGGCTCCTGGCATCTCCCCCGGAGCGGCCGAAGGCCAGAGCCGCCCCCTCCGGCGCCCAAAAAGGCCCCCGAAGGCCCCCCAGCGGACCGACCCCACGCCCCGAGACCGGTTTCTCATCCCGAGTCGTTTTTTGACGGTCCCGAGGGCCCGTGATGGCCCCCAGAGGCCGAAGATATCAAAAAACATCCGTCGTGATTTTTCCACGACGCGAGGAGGTCCGGAAGGCCCCCAGCTCTTGCGGGTCCCGACACGGTGCGGCGATAGCCCGCGCAACGGCCTCGGAACTCCTGAAGACCTCGCCGGACGGTCCGCCACCGCACGGATATGCCCAACGGCACCCTGGAAGCACCGGGCCGCATCGGATCGACGGCATTCGGCGGAGAACCTTTTCAGACAACGGCGGCTCTTCCGGCCAGCCCGACTCCTCTCGGACTCGGTTCCCCAGCCCTCCCAGGTTGGAGACTTGGAAATGGGCATCCACACCAACTGAGGGGTGCACCTCCACCAGGGGAATAAGATCATCCCAGATTCCGGTGCTGGTGGTAATATTTCGTATTTCGGCCACCTGAGAAGCCCGAATCTGGCCACCATCACCGAGATCGGGATCGTCTTCCCTCGGTGCAGGCACACCGCCGATCATGGTGTTGGTGTCAACCTCTATATGCACGGTTCCCCCCGGGGCCGTAGGCGACCCGAGGAGGAGGAGGAGGAGGAGGAGGACGAGGAGGAGGAGGAGGAGGAGGAGGAGGAGGAGAGGAGGAGGAGAGAGGAGGAGGAGGAGGAGGAGGACGAGGAGGAGGAGAGGAGGAGGAGGAGGAGGAGGAGGAGGAGGAGGAGGAGGAGGAGAGGAGGAGAGGAGGAGGAGGAGAAGGAGGAGGAGGAGGAGGAGGAGGAGGAGAGGAGAGGAGAGAGGAGAGAGGAGAGAGGAGGAGAGAGGAGGAGAGAGGAGGAGGACGGGTCGCCTAAGCCTTTCGGAGGAACCCTCCACCGCCACAGGCCTGCGAGCAGGGTCCGTCCTGACCCACTTTCCGAAGCGGACCTCGCCGTGGTGGCGAGAAGCATCCGGGAGGCCCTGAGAGAACGGCAAGCGCCGGCGGGGGCCGCCGTCTCGTCTGGACTGGCCCTCCTTCTGGAGGCCGCACTGGGTCGACGGAGTTTCCCCAGACATCTCACTGCACCGACCCTGCAGACGTGCTGCAGCCGATTCTTGCGTGGATTTCTGTCCATTGAAAACCCCGAAATGGCGGGTGAAAAACGAAGTGAATTTCGCGTGGATTTTTGTTGGTCTTCCTTCTTTGCCACCGCAAAAAATCTGCACGACATTCACCTCGAAATTCGGAACGAAATTCTCCAGGACACTCTGGGCCCATCCGATCGTTTTCCGAACGAAGCCCGCTCTGCGGTGTTGGCACCATGAGACATCTGGCCCCCTTGATCGTTTCGATGCGCGAACCCTGGAAAACCCGACCCGCTCTCCCCGGGGCCGGCTCTCCACCGCGAGTCCGCTTGTCACAGCCCTGGCGAGGGGCCCCAGAGGCCGAAGACGGCCACCAAATGTCCGTCGTGCTTTTGCTCATTGGGACGCACATGGACATACTAATACTATATGTCCTCCTTGGAGGCGCGCGTCCGACCCCAACATATAGTATACCCATCTTGTAGTATATCGTTTCCCGAGCGGTGCGGCCAGAAAGCGCCCGCCACGACGCATATACTATAAGATTTCTCGGTGCGCGCGTCGCCCCTGGGGGGGCGACGCACATATAGTATAAGTATGTTGGGGTGTTGCCGACTCATGGCGCGAGCATGCCTGGGTCTGAATCGAATCGGTTCTTGGGACGCCCGCAGTGGGTACGGGAAACTGGGCACGATGCCCAACAGCAAATGAGGTCCAAACTCGACGGCGGCCACTGCTTGGCAGGACCTCTTGTCTCAAAAGGCCCATGCCCGCGGCGGCACCGACAGCGAGTGCTGCTAGAAATGGAGAGGGAACTGCCGTTGGGCTTCGTACCCGATCTTTCCGTGCATTGCATACCGATCTCGATCCTGCCAACGGATCGGGCCGGCCAGAATCGGATCGAACCCTTGGGACCCCCACCACGGGTGGTTGCCGGGACATGCCTCGGCGGCCCTCCGGCGGCCGCTCGGGACGATCCGGGCACCCCTGGAACGCCATCGGCGAGGCATAGCCGCTGGAAGGCACCCCGAGGCTGGGAAACCGTCGAGAACCAACGAGAGCAGCCGACAAAAAAATCTCGAGACGGCGGCGCCCCTCGCTGGGCGGCGAGGCGCCCCAGGCCTGTAGCGCTTGCCACCCGCGCCGCAGGTCTGGGAGCAGGTGCCCCAGTCCTGGGGGGCGGCGGGGGCTGCCTCCTCTTCCTCCTGCTCCTCCTCCTCCCGGCCCCTCCCGGCCCCTCCGCCTCGCTCTCCTCTTCCCAGCCCTCCTCAAGCCCTTACTTCCTTTCTCCTGTTCTTCCTCCCCCTGTTCCTCCTCACACCTGCTCATCACCCCACGCCTCACCCCTCCTCCGTGTTCTCCTGTCCCTCCTGCAATACCCGTCTCCCTCCCACCCCGCATCCTCACTCCTCCTCCGCCTCCTCCTCCTCCTCCTCCTCCTCACCCCTCCTCACCCTCTCCCTGCCCTTGTTTCGCCCTCACCCTATGCTAAGCCAAATGGTGCCACATTCTCTCTCCCTCCTCCTGCTCCCCACCAAATGTTTACACTGAATGTCTCCGTGCGGGTGTCGCAAGAATTTGGCGAAGGTCGGCCGCCGATTTCGGTGGGCGGCCGGGTTCGTGGGTTCCTGGCTCCTCGAGTCTTGGCTCTGGACCTCTGGTATCTCATGTTCCCTGCAGTCAAGCCAAATAGACTGGATAGAGGGAAGAGAGCACAGTGTAGAGATAGTATATTAGAGCAAATGAAATAGAAAGGCGTACTGATCGGAGGGTACATCCTGGAGCGCACTGCCAGAATGCATGAATAAACCAGCAGAAAATTTCAAGTAGGTGGAAGACGCTGTTCAGTTTCACTCGTCGTCGTCGTCGTCGTCGTTGTCGTCGTCGTCGTCATCCTGGTCGTCGTCGCGCTTGAACCCCATTTCCCCCGGCCCGTCGCCGTTCCCCACCCTTTCGCAGGGCCTTCTTCATCAAGCGAGCCAGCCACAGCGAAACCCAAGCGAAATTGAGCAACGTCGCAGTGAGTCGAAAGGAAGTCCCTTCTGTTTGATCCCTTCCCCCCCAGGGGGGGGTGGTTTGGGTGGCACGAGGGGCGTGTCCTGGGGGGTCCTATAGGGGGGTCCTCCCGGGAGGGTCCTGTGGGGGTCCGGGATCTGAATACTATCCTACCCTGGGGGGTCCCGGGGCCCCCCAAAAAACCAAGACAGCCCATGAGGCCCCCAAGACGGTCAAGGAGGGTCCCAAGTCGCTGAACAATCATTACAAGACGCCGGATATGGCCTCCTGACATCCAAGAGAGCACACCCAGAGGGCCCCAACAGGAAAAAAATCAATGATTTTCGTCGGGTCTTCGAAAGATTCTGGCGTTCTCGCCGTTTCGGCTCCCCGACGCCCCAAGACGGCCCAAGATGCCACCAACTTCGGCACCAACGGCCCCCAAGAGCTTTCCAAGACGGCCTCAAAAAGACCCCCGGGCCCCAAGACGGTCCTAGAGGCCTCCCAGACGGCCCAAGAAGCACCCAAATCAGCTCCAAGAAGGTGCCCACGCGGGAGCTTGAAAGAACAGTTCGAGCCCTCGGTCCAGAGAAACTCCCAGGAGGCCCGGAGAGGCCCCCAAGAGGCCCCCACGAGGCCACGAGCCCCCCAAGAGGCCCCCAGGAAGTCCCCCAAGAGGCCCCCAGGAAGTCCCACGGGACCCCACCCCCAAGAGGCTCCCAGGATGCCCCGAAGAGGCTCCCAAGAGGCCCCCAAACTGCCCCCCCCCCCAAGAGGCCTGCGAGCGCGCTCCGAAGAGGCCCCACGAAACATGACCCCTGAGGACTCTGCCTCACGTCCGCGTCGTCGTCGTCGTCGCCGCCGACGCCACCGTCGTGGTCGTCACCCCGTGCTAGGAACAAGGAAAGGCGACACCAACACCAACAGGGCGAGGAGATGCGAGGAGGCAAGGGGGAACTCCCTGGTGGTGTGGTCCCCCCCTCTCGCTCGAGACATCCTCAGCCTCCAGCTCGGAGAGGCATCGTGGACCTCCTCGCTGGCGGTGGGCCCCCTGGTGGTGTTGGTATCGCTTCTCCTCCCTCCGACGTGCAGGGTCGGCGGCACCTGCCGTGAGGCCTTCCCAACAAACCAGCAGGGAACCTCCAGTGGGAAGCAACGGGCATACGTGTAACGGGCAGTAGAGCAGAGCATACAGGCAAAGCGTGGAAAGTCGATGGTACTGACCACATGGGATCAGAAAGCAATAGCAATAAAGAGAGCCGGTATCAGGAGCGAGAAGGACGAAGAAGGAGCACGAGGAGGGATACGAACGAGGAGATTGCTAGCGGTTTATCCAGGCCCGAGGGCCCCGCACCTTGTTCGCCCTCGTCTCGAGCCCCTGAGAACTTCTGGGCCTCGTGACGGGTGATGCCATGCCTGGAGAGATGGACGGATGACAAAGCCGCGACGAGCAAGGACCGAACAAGGGCACCGCGGGACCGAAAGGTGTCGGACTGGTGGCGCGTTTACCTCGGATCGAGCGTTGCGGGGGAAGCAGCAGAGCATAGTTTAGATACGCAAGTTGGCTGGTCATGTGGTGCTTCGGCCCTTACGCTTGCTCTCCAGGGGGGGCGAGGAAGACGAGGGAGGTACTGGGGAGGGGAATGCAAGAATAGGTGCAGGTGGAAGGTCACGCTGCCCTGGCCCAGAAAGGCGGAAGGACTCCCTCCTCCCCCGTGGGGACGGGGTGCACCACCTGATGCAGTTCGAGCACATGGGACACCTTGCGCGCCTGGCGCACCTGGCGCGCCGTTCGTGCCTGGCGCGCACCTGGTGCACCAGGGTCACGTGGCGCCCCGGGGGTCGCGGGGCGCCCACGGCGCTCGCGGCGCAACACCTCGCGTCCATATTTGATACCGGCCGCTGGCCAGTGAATGGCAACCGCTGCCTGCGCCGAGCCTCGGGTGCAGCTCACGCGTGGAAGCGGCGGGGAGGGCATGAGCGGGACAGCTCGTGCCATCCGACTGCGAGCTTGGCGCGCTCCCACATTTGCCAGGGCGCCCAGGATGGCCTTTGGCGACTCCAAGAGTGACCAGGTGCGCCAACAAGTTAGCCCAGTCTGGACCACGATAGCCTCCAACATGCCTCCAGGGTAGCCTCCAGCATGCCTCCCCTGGGGTCTCTTGAATTTCTGAAATGGTTGCTGGGGCTTTGGTGGTTCAGCTGGCTTGCAGAACGCGTGGAAACATCCGTATTCGAACTCTGAACTCGAGATCCCTCACGTCCACTTCGGCGTGTCACATGGCGGTGAGCGGGGGAGCTGGGGGACCTGCTTGGGCCGTCAGCGAAACTAACCAACCACCACGTCTGGGTATACAGCTGATGGGCCTGTTTTCCACCACCACCACCAGAAGTTGGAGGAGGAGGGGGTCCTCCTCCTCCTCCTCCTCCTCCTCCTCCTCCTCCTCCAACTCCTGGTGGTGGTGGACAACAGGCCCATCAACAGCAACTGCGCAGGCAGACGGCGACGACCACCATCGCAGCGACCACCAGGCCCTTCATTCTCAGGCCTGCGCGCGGGGGGGGCCCGCCCTCGGCGAGCGCCGGCCGCGCGGCCGCGGGCGTCCTCCCACTTCATGAAGGTGCAGTAGGTGACGTTCCCGTGGCAGTCAACTGGGCACTGGCCGACCTCCTGGCAGGATCGAGAAGCGTGAGCGTTTTCTTGGGGTGAAGGAGGGTCAGGGCGGAATGCACATGGGTTTTCGCACCTCGAAGATCGATCCGTCTTGTGATTCACGTTTGGCAGATTCCCTCGAAAATCCATCGGAACGGCATTTCAAATTTCACGATTTGCCCTCCACCCACAGAGAATGCTCGGAACAACACCGATCTGATCGGAACGTGCGTCGGATCCGGCCGCGCCGGCACGACGCAGGTATCGGATGGGATCGGCGGCGCCAGGGTGCAGAAGAGCGCCAGGAGGGGCATCGGGCCACATCGTACCGCCGGACGGTCGGAAAATCCGCCGATCCGGCGTGCGAGTTTCAAAAACCCTCAGAACTGCCTGAGCTTCAATTCTAGGGGGAAAACAAACCTACCTCGCTTTTGACCACCCTCGCTTCCAAGAGGTACCAAACGATGCCAAATTGCAGCCTGTACCGGTCAAGCAGCTTGACGGGGAGGCGCGTGGTATGGCTTGGCTTTGCCTGGAAGCGAAAGCGGGGTAGGTAATTCACGCTCTGAAACCCCCGAGTTTCAGCTCTGCTGGGGGGTGCGGTGCGGGGGTGGCTCTGCCGGGGGCGGCCCCCTCGCCCAGGGAGGGCCCCGGCAGGGGCCAGGAGGGCCCCGAGTCGCCGAAGGATCGCTGCGAGACGCCCAACATGTCCCCAAGACAGCTCCAGAAGCCTCCAAGATGCCATCAGAAGCCCAAAAGCCAAAAGGCCAAACGGAGCAAACGGTGTCAGATTCCCCAGGGAAAACATACAAGTTTGACATATTCGCCGCTTGGGCTTTCAGAGCGTCGCAGACGCCCCAAGAGGGCCCCCGAACGGCCCAAGACGCCAAAGGGTCTGCAAGACGGCCCAAACAGGGCCGAGGATGGCCCAGGAGGCCCCCGGAAAAGGCCCACGAGGGCCTGGGATGGGCCAAAGAAACGCCTGAGAGGGCGCCAGAACGGCGGAAAAAAATGCCGAAGACGGCCCAAGAAACCCCCAGCAGGCCCCTAAAGGCTCCCCAAAGGCCCCAGGACGCTTCTAACTGGCCCCGAAGAGGCCCCCTGCAGCCCCCTAAAAGCCCCCAAGAGCCTCAACAAATGCATCCAAGACGCCTTCTAGAGGCCTCCAAGCTGCCTCCAAGCTCCCCCCCGAAAAACCCAAAACCTGGGCCCAATGTTTCTAGCGCGCTTGCGTCTGAACGCAAGCGCTGCAATGCAAAATGTTTGTTTCCACGCTTTCACATTGTTTCCCGTCTTCGGTGTTTTTCACATCCACGATCTCAAAAAAAAGGGCCCGCAGATGACCGCGCGAAGGCCCCGCATACCCCAAAACGCCACGGCTCCCAGCAGAGACCGGCAATGCACAAAGTTCCATCAGGAACTGTGACGCACGCAGCTTTAGCACGAAGCCTTTCAGAGAGCGCGCCAAATCGGCGAGGTCAACCCAAAGAGGACCAACACCTGGCCCAAAAGAGGCTCTCCAACAACCGCCGAACATCTCCAACAACCGCCGAAAATCTCCTCATCCTCGTCATGCTCCTCCTTCTTCCCCTCCCCCCCTTCCACTTCCCGTTTCCTCCAGCTCCTCATCCGCAGCATCGTACTACTCTTGCCCCTCCCCCCTCTACCCCTCTCCACCTCATATGATTATCTTCCTCTCCCTCCTGATCCTGCTCTTGCCTCCATTCCCAATCCTCATCATCCTCGCCGCTCGCCGTCGTCGCCGGTCATGACCGCCATCGTGCGCTTCCGGCAGCAACGGAAGCGTCCCGGATCGGCGGCACTGGCCGGAGGCCACTACAAAAAATCGGGTCGAGCCGGCAAGCATCGACATCGAGTCGGCTCGATCGGACTCAAAGGTGCCCTGTCCTGGTCTCCGCGGGCAGCGGGTGCCGACCAGCCACGGCTGAGGGGAGCCGCGTTCTTTGCCACCCCTGGGGAACACGTTCGTGTTGAAAAGCACTTCAAAGAGCTGTCGAAGCCGACGAGTCCCCAAATGGGGCAAAGACAACAGCTGCCCTGGTTGCGGCAGGTTTCGACTGACACGAAGGATGTCATGATATGAAATGAGAACAGCGGTGGGATGGGGGATCAGACGAGGGCGAGCTGAAGCACTGGCATGAGGTCGGGCCTGTCCCCCATACAGGGGGATTTGGGGCAAAAAGAATACCCCAATAATATTCAACAAATGTCAGAAGTCGTCAAAACACAGTCCCCGACTATTTGTATGTTTCACAATTTTTGAATATTCCCCCTGTAGAGGGACAGGCCCGACTTACCACTGGCAGTCCTCCTGGTCCTCCGACCTCCTGAGCGCGCCTCATGACTGAGCCTCCTTCCCGTGCCAGGGCTGCGCAGTGTCTCCAAGGGCCCTGCCTTGGAGAGATGGAACCTGGGGGTCACGATCCAAGGAAGCGGCACGATGCTTTTGTTGGCTTCTTTTCAAGGTGCCTATTGTAGGCTGCCGTCAATCATGGTGACTCGCTGCACTCGTCCGCTGTAGGCCAGCCGTGCGCAAAACTATGGACACTATGAAGATAGCGCGATGCAGGGGCTTTGCGTACAGGAGCCCAGAAGAGGCATGATGTGAACCAAGACTCGTGAACTTCGGTCGGGCCTGTCCCCCACAGGACGAGTTTGGGCGAAAAGTTGAAAATACCCCAAAATGCTCCAAACATATTCATTTTTTACTATTTGGGAATTTTCATCCTGTAGAGGGTCATGCCCGACTTAAACGTAAACATAATGAACCAGACTAGGGACCCACATGGAAACAGGACGAAAAGAAACTCAAACCTCCACTCTGACGTCCCGACGTTTTCCCCGTGGTTTGTGCACATGCAGGCCGACATCGCCCCAGCTCGGGAAGTTGGTTGACAACCGCGGTTCCCGAAGGTCCCCAGACGCAGAAATCTTGCGAAAGCGGCCGTCGAGTCGTGTGCGTGTGCGGGCGTGCATTTTTGTTGCAACTCCTGGAGCCCCTCTAGGCTAAGACGGACAAATAACTGGATGAGATGAATGTGTAATCTCTGCGAGTCAGAGGGTCTTGAACACGTATCGAGACCGCGGACATTCCGTAGCGTCCCCGAACGTCGGGGGTTACCCGATGGTGTCCCTGGCCTGGCAGGTGTCCCGAGCTTCTAGTGCCGCTTTGCAAACCCTGGGGGTCCTTTGGGCCTCTTGAGGGGTGCTCTGGATGGCGTTGGCGCCCCCCTGGAAATCCTGGGGACACCCACAGGCCGTGGGTCGCATTCGGCAACCTCCGAGAACGCTTTGACAGCGCTCCTTTCGTGGAGGAGGAGGAGGAGGAGGAGGAGGAGGAGGAGGAGGAGGAGGACGAGCGTCGGGGCTTCGGGTCTGAACTTCGATTCTTGCCTCGGGTCGCTGGCTGCCATACGCGAGGCGATCCAGACACACCCCGGGAACACCCTCGACGGGTCGCAGCTGCCTGAACGCATTCCGAAGCAACCCGTTTCGCCGGCGGCCATTCTGAGTATCGTTTAACCGATCCCCATCCCCAGCGGCGTGGCCTGGGACCCACTGGCCGATTCACCCCCCTAGATGGGGCTATAGGTCGTTCCCTTGGGGTTTCGAGGGGTGTATCCCCAACCGGGGTGGTATTTTGGTGGGGGTCTCGAAGGGGATGGGGATGGGGGTGGGGGGTCGGTTAAACGATACTGACCTCAAGGCCCTCGACGGAGCGCAGCTGCTGGAACACACCCCGAGTCCAGAAAAGAGGCCCAGAACCGACGACGACGCCCGAAGACCTGGAGCCTCCAGCGTCGCGCCTCCCACGCCCGAGAACCTGGATCCTTCTTGCCGCGGACGTCGACTGCAAGAGCCGACGGTTCGAGGCCGTGCACGGCGACGGCAAAACAGAAAAACCGGCCGAATCGACAGAGAAACCGACACCGACCGAGATCGACAGGCCGCATGCAGCCCGGAAGGGCTGCATGCGACGCGGCCACGACACGATGACCGACCGAGCCGAACCGACCGCACGCAACCGACGGAGACGCAGCCGAACCGACCGAACAGCGAACACCCCGTCTGGTGTCCCTCGACCCGCGCTGGAGCGTCCACGATTTGCTCCAGATCTCCCTGGAGATGTCTGGATTTCCCTGCTTGCCCCGATTCGCATCGATGTGCCTGGGCCGATCACCGCAGGTCGACTGGAGAAAACATCGCCAGGCAAGCCGCAGCCGCTCCCCATACCCCCTAACGCTGCCCCTGACCTTCTCCTAGCGCTGCCCCTGACCGCGCACACCCTTGCGGATCCTCGAGGTCCGTCTGCTCGCAGGGAAGCCCGCCGTTCTGGGGGTACTGGCTGATCTTGCGGTACCGGATCCTCCCCCCGAGCGGGCCACCGCCGCCGCGGGCGGCGCACCCGACCGAGTGCCCGACCGGCTGGCAGCGACGACGACGACGACGACGACGACGACGACGACGACGACGACGACGACGAGGACGACGACGACGACAACGAGCCATCAAAAATCGAACCGCCATCGCTTGACCTGGAGGTCTCCGTGAGAGCCGCGGCACCCGTGGCGGGATGCCCGAGGTGACCGCGGCGCACCAGCAGGCGGCCGCGTTCCTGGAGCGGGGGCCTCTGGATGCCGAGCGAACAACACACACCCATACCCATAGGGGGGTCGTTGGGAGGAGGACTGGCTATGGGTATGGGTGCGGGTTGTCGGACCCTGGGGAACGCTCCCGTTCCAGCGGGGACCCCCATCCGACAACTCAACACGCACGCATGACCCTCTCCGACTCCCCTATGGGTACGGGTGTGCATTGTTGGCTCGTCATCTGGATGCCTCCCTGGAGGTACCACGGAGCCTGCGGAGGGCCCCCAAAACTACAAAGAGCGCAGACACCGGCTCCATGTGCGAACCGCGTTCCTCGGTCGCCGCCTCCTCGAGAAGGGCCCCCGCCGCACGGCCTTCAAAAAGGCCACCCAACAGGCCCTCCTGAAATCGTGCAGAGAGGTCCTCGATCCTCGCCGCCCGAACTCCGACTTTCAGGAGCCCCCGACTCCCCAGTGGTGACCCTCCTTGGCATGTCCTGAATCTTCTCAAGACTCCAGGCTGCAGACTCGTCTCCTGCACCGGGCGGAGCCCCCAGGGCCCTCTCTCTGGCGAACGCCTGGGGGAGGGCAAGGAACAAAAAGGGCAAAAGAGGTGGGTCTCTATCTCCACCCACCCACCCGGGAGTTTTGGGCCAACGCTCGGGCCACTTCCCCTCGAGCAAGCCGGCCTCCACCACCGTGCGCAGGCGCCCGAGACCCCACCCCACGCCTCGAGCACGCCGGCCTCCACCACCGTGCGCAGGCGCCACGCCATGCGCCGCGGCTCCGCCGTTCGGCCGCTCCCTCTCCTCTCCTCCGAACCTCATCCTCCGGACATCCTCGATCTTCGCCACACTCGGAGTCCCGACCCTGTCCCCAACGACCAGCGCTTCCTTCCGAGCCGTTTCTTGCCGGTCCCGGGGAAGGGCGAGGGACCCCACGAGGCCGAAGACGGCAGAGAACATCCCCCTTGATTCTTTGAACACGTTGGAGCTCTGGGTCCTCCTCCCCCTCCTCCTCCTCCGCCTCCTTCTCCTCCTCCTCCTCTTCCCCCTCCTCCTCCTCCTCCCCCTCCTCCTCCTCGAGGCCCTGGCGGTGCTCGACCCTTGAGGACGGCGGCAGGGGCCGCCGTGGCGGCCTCGGGGGGGTGGGCCTTCGCTCGACCCGGGGGCCGTCGAGGAGAGCAGCTCGAGACGCAACACCGGCCCCGGGGGGAACGTGTCGGGACTTCCGGGGGCCACGTTTTTGAGCATCGTTTATATCCGATGCCCAGCCCCACCAGCGTGGGCTGGGCCCCACTGGCCGATTCACCCCCGCCCCCCTGGATGGGGATATAGGCTGCTCTCTTCGGGCTTCGAGGGGACATCCCCAACTAAGGTGGTGAGATGGTGGGGCTCGAGATGTGGATGGTGACGGGGATAGGGACCCGTTAGAGCTTTGTAGAAATGAAAGCATCGGATGTCGGGGATACACTGGCGGGCAATTTGGCCAGCGACCCAGCGAGCGCAACCACTCTCAGTGCGGGCAGCCTTTCCAGGGGGCGGGGGGGGGCAGAGGGGGCGGGCCTTCCCAAAGTTCTCAGAATGCCTCGGGCCTTCTGAACATGTTTGCAAGCCTCCTCCGAAGGCAGAGACAATGTTTCAGAAGGCCGGATGCCTTCTAGGAAGCCCCGCCGTCTTCTGAGAAGGCCTGTTCATGCACGGGCCCTGGCCAGGCCCATCCGATGCCTGGGCCCAGGATCGGTGCATGCGCAGAATGTTCTTCGCTCGACTAAATCGGCATCGGACGTCGGCGTCCTCGTCGACATCGCCTCCCTCGGACGAGATTGTCGCTGTCGTCGGACGACGTCCACGTCGCCGTCGTCGTTATCCTTCTCCTCGACGACGCCGTCCTCGCCGCCGTCCTCACCGCCACCGTCGTCCTCGTCGTCGTCATCCTCGTCGGACGAAAGGTTCCCTACAGTGGAGGCGTTGACCTAAGGAACCCTAAATATGGAACGAGGCCCCTTTGTTTCCATGAGTGAAGCTTAGATTTCGCATCGAACACCTAAGGAACACCAAAGGCGAACCATAAACTAAGGAACACTGAGCCCCTCCCAAACGAGAAGGGTTCCTTCTTCACCGCCCCGACTGTGGGCCCCAGGGGGGAATGATCGGGGGGAAGAGGCTGGGACGTCGTTGTCGAACGTCGGCATGGGCCCGTACTGGTTCGCGAATCGGAAGCATCAGAGGGAGGAGGACGAGGTAGGGCGAATGGAGGGGGGAGGAACGAGAAACAGATCAGCAGGGCGATGAGGAACAAGAAACAAACAGTAGGGCGATGAGGGGGAAGGAGAAAGGGAAGGAGAGGGGGAGTGCAGGGACGGGGAGGAGAAACAAAAAAAGATACAGAGAGAGAGAGAGAGTAAGAGGATGAGGTGGAGGCAAGATAAGTCAGCATCGAATCGGGACATAGGATCGAATCGGGATGCGAGCCGGATCGAGCAACATCGGCACGAGGTCGGGAGCGAATTGCATTGGCCGCGGCAGGATGCACAACACCACCACAAAAACGCCAGGCCGCGTCGGATCGTCGGAACATCGGAACTGGACCTCCTTGGGACCGCCTGAACCGATATCGAATCCGATCCGTCGGATCGACCTGGGTCCTGAAAGAAAGAAGGAACAATGAGAGGAGGATTCCTGGAGGGGACGCACGCTTTCCGGCGTTGCCCCGGAGCTCTTGCCTCCGGGCGTCTTTCCTGGAGGCGTCCGCACGCTCTTGGAGGCCCAAGAAGAGCCAAAAACATATATATATATATATATATATTATATATATATATATATATATATATATAAAAAAAACGTCGTTCCTCCTCCTCCGCCTCCTCCTCCTCCTCCTCCTCCTCCTCCTCCTCCTTTCGCGACTGGAGGGTTCCAGACGGGGCCGGGAGCCTGGGCAAAAAGGGACGGGCCGGACCCCCCTGACGCGACCCCGATGGCTGGCACGGGGGCCAGTCGCACACGGGGCCAGGCCCCTCTCTGCACAGGGCCTCGCCCCGCTGCAGACGAGGAGGGAATTCTGGGAGGAAAGAAAAGGAAACGGCAGGGGAGGAAAAGGAGGAGGAGGAAGAAAAGGAGGAGGAGGAGGACAGGGCAAAATCGGGGATCATTTGAAAGGATGATGCCAATCAGGAGGCGGAGGGACAGGAGGAGGAGGGAAGAGGAGAAGAGAAAAGAGGAGAGAGGAGGGGGGAAACGTGGGGGAGAGGGAAGGGGGGGAACAGAGAAGGACAGGGAGGAGGAAGGAGGGAGGGGGAGGGAAGATAGGATAGGATAGGATAAAACTCGGCCTTGCGCGTGTGGGTGGTGATATGCAGCTATACACGCTGTGTGATACGCATGCGCATGCTACATTGAACGATCGCATATCTACTACACGGGGCTACTTACTGGTAGCGCGCGCCGTGCAGCACTCATCAAGGTTTGAAGAGGCTGTTCGCAAGGGGTATGTGTCACTCGCGAGCTGGGGGGAACGCCCCGCTGGCCCCTGGAGGCCGACGCCTCACAGCACGGCAGGTGCCAAGCTGCCGTCCTGGGCGTCCACCCAACCCGAAAAAAAACCATGTAAAAAAACGTTATAGTTACTTCTGGCGCGGGAGCGGACACGCGCCTTCTTGTAAAAGACGAGCTGCGGCCTGAGGGACCTCAGGCGGTGTAGAAGTGCGTCAGCGTGGCGCGGAACCCCGAGCTGAACACTACCAGGCCCCAGTGCGGCGAGAGGCTCGAGCGCAGGGGGTTACACACGAGGACCCAGGACACCGCGAAATAGGAGGTCATCTGGACATGCTCGGGGACGGCCGATGCCATATCCATGCGCAATGCGGCATCGGAGGGAAAGGTGAGTGGCCCGCCTCGCGGGGAGCCCAACGCCAACCACTGTCACAGACGGGCTCATGGCCTGAAAGAAATAAAAAGGACATGGCGACTTGATCACAACAGCCGCAATGGCACGCTGGGGCTTGCGCTCGAACGCCCCTGTGGCGACGTGGGCCCAGTAGCCGCTGCGGCGCGCTGGGACTTGCGACCTAACGCCTGGAACTACACCCACGTCGGGGCACGAATCGTAAATCCAACACTGAGAGCAACTGCTGAGCCCCCTACATGCGGAAACGCCCACGCACGAATGCTCGCGCCCGCGCCGCCGCGCGTGCCCGTAGAGCGTCGAGTCTGGCCTTCCAGTCCTCACCCATGGGTTTTTGCCGTTCCCCTTGCGCTTGCCTCCGAGCTTGTGCTTGTCCAGCATATTCTGTGCTAGCTGTCCGAGGTGACCCCGGGGAGCTGTGCCCTGCTTGAGAGCGCCGCCCATGCCTTTGAGCAGCACCATCGTCGCGCTCTCGATCACCAGTTTGGAGAAGGTGTGCGGCTCGTTTGCGTCGCTCGCGGCCTGCGCCCCGTCCACGATGGCAATACGCAGCCTGGCCATGTCCTCGTTGTAGCACCTCTTGTATCTGATGTGTCGGATCGACAAGCCGAGCCCCCGTTGCTGTCCACGTTGCAGCTGCTGTGAAATAGGCGCACTACCTCGAGAGCCTCTCCCCCGACCTTCTGGTTCGACTCCGCTTCCACTGAGCACTGGTACCCTGCGCGCGCTACGCGTAAGCGCGGTGGCCCCAGCTTGCCCTTCGCGCTGCGGCGCCCAACCGCCTCCGAGTAGAGCTGCCCAGCGGCCCTGGAAGCCGCGATCATTGGGGCGATCGTCGGGGCCAACGCGCAAACCCAGATCGCCGCGGCCATGCC